TGTAATTAATTTTATTTTATTTAATTAATTTTATTTTATTTAATTAAATCCGTTTTAAATAAATAAAATTAATAAAATTAAATAAAATTTATTTAATTAATTTTATTTAATTTTATTAATTTAATTTATTTAAAACGGATAATTAAATGAAATACTAAAAATTTTGTCTAAATTTCCGTCAATTGCCTGCTTTGTATGTATAATGCAAATATTGTTTGTTAACTTTAGTCCCAATTTTTCGGCAATTTCTATACTATCGGGATTTGTATCCCAACAGTTATATAAAACATTATCCAATAGATTAACGGGTATGAGTTGGAGACAACTGTTGGCCAACAATTCGGCTATCGATCGATTGTCCGCATATAACGGTCCGATAATTGTCGTCTGATTCATTGCTCTGAATATAATACAATAGCCGCAGACCTCCCGGCGCTCATTAATTGCCACCAATGTCCAGGTTTCCGATGAATTTATTAGACCTTCAATGAATATCCGCCGATCAATACCCGCGCATACATTCCTGTCGTATTCAATAATATCCGATATTAAATCCATAGTTATTGGCAATAAAGTTATACCATTAAAAGATTTCGGATATTTAATGTTGTTATCAATTAATAAATTATTTGTTTGTAATTTTCCAGTCATTATTAACAAACGTTTGTGTTTTGCTATTTGAAAACCATATGCCTTAACATACTTTTCGGCCATTAGTTGATTGTCAGCAATCAGTGTTTTATTGATGTCGTCACCCAAATAGTCCAAAATTTTTTTACAGATAACCGATCCGATACCCTGTCCCTGATATTCAGGTCTAACAGCGTAACCACTCATGAAGGCCAGGTTTGCCGATTGTTTAACTGCACTACAATATCCAATAAGTTTTCCTTATTTTTATTTTTTAAAAAAATAAATAAATTATATTTAACTATTAATTTTTGTGTAAATTTCTAATTTTATGTTTTCATCAAATTTATCAATATTTACATTACATTGAAATTTTTATTAGTAAATATATAATATATAACTAAATGTTTAACTATTTTTTAAAAAAATAACAATTTAATTTAAGAACTTATCAGTAAATATATATATATATAAATCTTTATTATTATAAACAACTAAAATAGATCTAAATATATATATATATATATATATATATATATATATATAAGTTTATAATTATCATATTAACTATTAAATACTATTTTTGGCTAACATTTATGTATTTAAAATTATAAAAAAACTACAGTTATATATATATATATATATAATATAAATATAAAGTTATTTCATGTATATATATATACCAGTGTCGACCTCCTCGGCCACAAAAATGCCGTTCGGGTCGATGTTTAGCAGGATTTCATTGATCCGATTGAATGCCAATGTCTTACATGCCGTCCATATATCGCGTACGTCATCGCAATCTGTGGCACGCATTAGGCGTACATTAAATTTAACTAATTGTTTGGTAGTGTCGGACATAACTGTACCACAAATTATATGATATACAGTATATATATATATAATACTTTTACTACTATTGTATTTTACTAATTATTTCGGTAATTATTTGAAAGATTATTATTCACATATATTTATTATTTGGTACACTATATCATAAAAATTTTGCTAATAATTTGTTGTGTGTTTTAATTTTGTAAATTATAATTTAGTTTAAACTATTAAAGTTTTTTTTTCTTAAATACAATGTATATATAATAAATTCTGAGATATTAAGTATTAATTAAAATTAGTGACTAAACAAACAATATATTTAATATTTTTACTACAATTATATTTTACTAAAAATTTCCGTAATTATTTTAAGATAATTATTAACATTATTATTTGGTTATAATATATTAATATTATTTGGTAATATAAATCACTATATCATAAAAATTTTGCTAATAATTTGTTGTTTATATATTATAATTAGTTAATCTATTAATGTGTTTTTTATTTTTCTTAAATACAATGTTTATATATATAATAATTAATTTCAAGATATAAAGTATTAATTAAAATTAGTGACTAAACAAAAAAAACAAAAGTATTAAATAACAAAATATTAGTGATATGATTAATAGCAATAGTAATGAGTAACCAAAAAATTAATACCAAATTTTAGTATTTTATTTATTATAGTTATCAATAAAACTTAAGAGAGAGAGAGAGAGAAAATAAATAAAAATTATTTTTCATAACATTTAGTTAAGTTTGTTGTCTGGTTTGTTAATATTTAATATTAAGGCTAAAAATTTATAAAAAAATACTAAAAAAAATGTATAACATTTGTATCTTAAAAACATTTTTTTCCAATAATTTTGTTTACAATTTTATTTTATATTTATATCAGATATTATTATTTAAATTAAAAGTTAATTTTTATATTAATTAATAATAAATTTATAAATTTTATTATTATTGTTGTTGACATTTTCCAAATGTATCAATATTTAGTTTTTCATAATTAATTTTAAATAGCATACATTTATATTTATATATAAAAATATATATATTAAAAAATTATTTATTACAATGAAATCTGATTACTAATTATTGTATCACTAACTTTATATATAACTAATTGGTTATCAGTATATATTGATTAAAATTTATTTAAAAAAATAAATATTATAATAATTAAATCACATTTATATAAAAAACAAATTAAAATATTAAATATTATTTTTATTTTAGTACTATGTTTATTATAATGAAATAATAGGTATGTTTGTGTTATGTAAATATATAATACTATACTAATTAGTAAATTATTACTGTTTATATAATTTTTATTAGCAATTAAAATAATTTAACTTTTTTTTACAAAAAAAATTAATTATTTAAAACGGATAGTTATAGGAAATACCAAAAATTTTGTCTAAATTTCCGTCAATTGACTGCTTAGTGAACATAATGGGCCTATTGTTTACTAAATTGAGTCCCAATTTTTCGGCAATTTCAATACTATCGGGATTTATATCCCAACAATAATATAAAACATCGTCCAATAGATTAACGGGTAAGAGTTGCAGACAACTGGTGGCCAACAATTCGGCTATCGATCGATTGTCCGCATATAACGGTCCGATAACTGTCGCATCGCACAGGGCTCTGAATATAATACATAAGCCGCAGACCTCCCGGCGCTCATTAATTGCCACCAGAGTCCAGGTTTCCGATGAATTGACGGAACCTTCAATGAATAACCGCCGATCAATACCCGCGCATACATTCCTATCGTATTCAATAACATCCGATAATATATCCATAGTTATCGGCAACAAAGTTATCCCATTAATAAATTTCGGACATTTAATGTTGTTATCAATTAATAAATTATTATTTGTATTTAATTTTCCTCTCATTAATAGCAATCGTTTGTTTTCTGCTATTTGAAAACCATATGCCTTAACATACTTTTCGCCCATACGTTGATTGCCAGCAATAAGTGCTATATTGATATCGTCACCCAAATAGTCGAAAACATATTTACAGATAACCGGTCCGATATTCTGACCCCGATATTCAGGTCTAACTGAATAACCACCGATGAAACCGAGGTTTGCCGATACTTTAACTCCACTACAATGTCCAATAAGTTTTCCTTATTTTAAAAAAATAAATAATATTTTAATATTAATTTTTGTATAAATTTTATGTTTTCATTGTATATTAATATTTAGTATATAACTTATAAATATACAGTATATATAAATTTATTTTATAATAATAGTATTATATATTTTTTTATAAATAAAAAATAATTAAATGTTATTCAACATTGAAATCTTTAGTAAATATAAAGTATAACTATTTTCTATAATTAATTGTTTAGTTATCTTTAAATAACGATTTTATTATATTTTAATATTTTAATTGATTATTTTTTAATATTTTAATTATGAATTTAATTTAACTTATGTGACTAAATAAAAATCTTGAAATAAACAACAAAAAAATAAATACTATATATAATTATCATATTAAATACTTTTATATATAAATACTATTTTTTTTGCTAACATTTATGATTATTTTAATAATACAATACTACAGTACATTATATATATATCATATATGCATATAAATATAAAAATTATTTCATATATTAATATATATACCAGTGTCGACCTCCTCGGCCACAAAAATGCCGTTCGGGTCGATGTTTAGCAGGATTTCATTGATCGGTTTGAATACCAATGACTTACATGCCGTCCATATATCGCGAACGTCATCGCAATCCGTGGCACGCATTAGGCGTACATTATATTTAACTAATTGTTTGGTAGTGTCGGACATAACTGTACCACAAATTATATAATATAAAGTATATATAATATATGTAATACTATTACTACAGTTATATTTTACTAATAATTTCAATAATAATTTTAAGATAATTATTAACACGTATTTATTATTTGGTAATATAAATCACTATAGCATAAAACTTTTGCTAATAATTTGTTGTGTTTTAATTTATAAATTTAAAATTTTAGTTAACTATTAAAGTGTTTTTTCTTAAATACAATATACCTGTATATATAGTATATAATAATAAATTTTTAGATATAAATTATTTAAAAAATTAGTAACTAAACAATAAAAAACAGTTAAATAAAATGATATTAAGTATTACTAAACATTATTATATATGTTTAACTGTAAAATGACTATTGAATATCATTGGGAATAAATGAATAATCAAAAATTAATAAAATATTTTATTTTTTTATTGCCTAACATTTTGTTAAGTTTTTTGTTTTATTTTATTTTTTAACATTAAGGCTAAAAATAAATTAAAATATTTAAAAAAAAGTACAGCATTGGTATGTAAAAGCATTTTTACAGTTTTTATTAATATTATTATTATTATTACAAAACAATATGTTTTTATTATATTATTAATTAAATTTTAATTTAATTATATATGTATTAAATAATAATCTATTTATATATTATTATTATTATCTATCGTAATATTTTAAATAATTGTTAATAAATTTAATTATAATATCGAAATCAATTTGCAACAGTCGCCTAAAAACAAATTTTTTATAAATTTAAAAAATAAATAAATATTATTTTAGTTTTTTTATAAATATATTTATTAAATTATACCCCATATGCTCCTAAATTTTGCGGCAATGATGTAGTGTAACCCCATTTATCTTCATAGTAATCATATATTTCAATTGTATCAGTTAGTCGATTATCATCTAAATTATTTTTTTTTAAAAATATTATTAAAAAAAGTTAAAAATAACATATTTTTTAAAAAATTACCCGAATTGCCACCCAATGCATACAAATTGTTATTGAAAACAATTAATTTAAAATCATTTCGTCTAGTTTTCATTGATCCTTTAAATTTATAATTATATATATATATGATATTATATATTATAGAAAAAATAATATAAATTAATATATATTTTTTCAAACCAATTGGTGTCCATTGGTTTGTTTGCGGATCATATGTTTCGCATGATTTTCCATCACTAGTACCCAAACCGCCGCAAACATATATTTTGCCCATAAATGATGCCGAACCAAATAATGATCTTTTAATTAAATAATAATAATAATAATAATAATAATAATTAATTAATTAATTACAAAATACAAATATGATTAATTAACAATTAAATATAGTAATATATTAAATAGTATTTTATACATAAAAAAATATATTTTCCAAACTATTTAGATTTTTTTAAAAATATATAAATTAAAAAAATAAAGTTATTTAATATAATTTTAATAATAATTTAATAATGTTCTTTTTTAATAATAATAATAATAATTAATTAATTAATTAATTACTAAATACAAAATAACAAATAAATACTATAAAAATAATATAGTATTTTATATATAAAAAAATATTTTCTAAACTATTGTAATTTAGTTTTTTTTGTGAAAATAAAATTTTAAATTATAGATTTAATATCAAAAATTAATAATAATAATAATAATACTAACCTTGATGAATTCATATTTGCATTAGTAGACCATTGTTTTGTTTTTGTATCAAATTTTTCCATTGAATTAATAAAAACATTACGATTTTTACCACCGATAGCATAAAGACATCCCTCGTGTAATACCAGTGCCAAACCATCCCTTTCCGTACGCATTGATGCCGTAAAATACCACTCATCCGTATTTGGCGTATAATATTCGCATGATTTTAGTGGTTCGTCTAAAAAATATATTATTTTTTAATAAATCTATTTTAATTTTGTTCAAATTCAACAACAACAAAAATCAAACAATTTGAATCTATTTTAAAACTAACAAAATTATTATTTAGTAATTTATTATTTTCAAAAATAATCAAAAAATTTAAAATTTATTTACTATTATCACCACCGCATACGTAAATTGTATTATCAATTATTGCTGAATCAAATGAACTTTTTTTTAATTAAAAAATAAATATCAATATAATATAATTAATATATTTTGAAATAAAATATTTTAGTTTTTTTTAGTTGAAAAATACCTGCGTATATAATTCATTGGTGAAACCGATTTCCACGTATTTGTTTGCGTATCGTATGATTCAACGCTATTTATCCTTTTATCTGGTTTACTCTAAATGCATTAAATGGTATTTTTTTGCAAAAATAAATTAATTAAAAACTTAGTATATATATAAAAAGTTTTTATTGCTTGCTTAGTTACAAGTACTTCAATTTTACTATAAATAACACTAACTAACTATTACTCTTAAGTACAGTGTTTAGCTATATAATTGTTTAAGTACTAAATTTTATCTTTTTTTTAAAAATAACTGATTTTAAGTGCTTAAGTTAGTTAAAGGTTAACAGTAAATGATTTTTATATATACTAGTAATACAAAAAAGTATTTAAAAAAAACAATTAGATTTATATAAATATTAATTTTTTATATATAATTATAATATACAGTATTTTTTAGTAATTATTATTTACATTTAGACCGCCGATTGCATACAATTTTGAATTCAATGAAATCAAACTAAAATACGACCGACTGGTGGACATGGATTGTATGGATTGCCAAACATCGGTGTGTTTATTATATTTAAAACATTTGGACAGTAGTTTAGACGACCCATCACTGCCACCGCATATATAGATAAACTTTTCCAATAAGTTTTCGGTTAACTAGTTTTTATATATTTAAAAAATAACAAAAAAACTAAAACACATATACAGTACTAAATATATGTTCAAAAACATAAAAAATATATTTCATTTACATTAGTATTTGAAGTATCGATAGTAGTATTCAATGAGATCACAGTAGAAATAAAAGTTACAATAATTATTAAATAAATTTTTGTCATATTTTTTTACAAAAAAATAAATAATTATTTTTTATTAGAAATAAAATAACTAAATTTATAAAAAAAATTATTATTATTATTTTAAAGTTATCATTTCTATTTTATAGTATTTATAATATTATATATACTAATAAATTATTTGTAACTTTATTAATAATAATCTACAATATAATAACAAAGTTCAATTGTTAATTAATGATTATTTTGTTTTATATATTTATTGATAATATTTGTGTATTTATAAAAAATAATTTTTACATTCAAAATTTATTTTTTAAAAATTGATAACTTTTTAAAATATATATACCGTATATAAAAATATAATTTATTTAATACAAAGATCTAAATTATTAAAAAAAAACTAGAAAAACAACAAAAATTTATAATTATAATTATTTTTTATATAAATTATATTTTGTTGAGATTTTTCTTTAAAATTATTATTCATCATGACACGAATCAATTTCACCAAAAAGCCACCATTATTTTTACATAATTGTCCGGTTGTACAGCAATACAGCTCATTGCAGGCATTCTCATCAGATGCACAACCTTAATTTTTTTTTTTTAAATATTTTAATAATAATATCTATAAATAGTAATAATAATTTTACTAAAAAAAATAAAATATTACGATGACACTTTGATATAATATTATTATCAGCATCGCGTTCTTGTTTACAAATTGTATTTCATCCACTGCAATCTAGATCAGATCCGCAACTAAATGAACCAGGTTTATGATCTAAATTAAAAGATAATTTGAAATAATAACGTAATATATATATAATTGTAATATAAATGCAAGAAAGACGCTATAAAACTATTTACACTCATTAATAAAGGCCCCAAAATTTTTCAAATAAACATACAATAACTAATAATCATCTATAAAAATTTTATTAACTATATAATATTTTAGTTTTTTTAATTTAATTTAATTGATATAATAAGTTAGTAATTGTAAATATTTTTAATAGTAGAAAGTAAATAGTAAGTAGAAAGACATACATCCATAGTCACAAACAATACTCATAGTTAACAATACAAACAATAAAACTAGTCTTAAAAACATAATGTTTCAATAAATTTATTATAATTTTTTTGTTAATACAGTATATTTCTAAGTTATATTATATCTCAATATTCAAATAATATAATAAAAATAATTTTAGTTAATAAATAGTTTGCTTATGAGTACAGTATTGTAAACAGTATGTATCAAATAAAAACTACATCAACAAATAGTCTAAATATAGTTATATATTACATAATACTGTAATAATAACAGATTTTAAAAGTTAATTTATATTATTGACGTTAATAAATCAGATATTTTTACAAAAATACACATACACACATACACACATACACACATACACACATACACACATACACACATACACACATACACACATACACACATACACACATACACACATACACACATACACACATACACACATACACACATACACACATACACACATACACACATACACACATACACACATACACACATACACACATACACACATACACACATACACACATACACACATACACACATACACACATACACACATACACACATACACACATACACACATACACACATACACACATACACACATACACACATACACACATACACACATACACACATACACACATACACACATACACACATACACACATACACACATACACACATACACACATACACACATACACACATACACACATACACACATACAAATTAAAAAAATAATAATAACAAAAAACATGAAAATATTTATTAATATTTATAAATGTTTTATAAAACAAACAAAAAATTATTTATAGATTTTTATTAATGATCTTCACACTCATGAATATTCCTATAGTAACCATGATGATTACATACTTGGCCTGATGTACAGCAAATTTCTTGCCCGCAGGCTTTCTCATCGTGTGGACATTCTAAATAAATATATTTTTTATTAAAAAATAACAATTATAATAATAAAAATATAATTAAATTACCACTACAGTGTGGTTCTGGTTCTGGTTTGCAAATTACATTTTCTCCACTACAGGAAAAATCAGAAGGGCATACATGAATTATTTTAACGCCATCTAAATAATAATAATAATAATAATAATAATAATAATAATAATAATAATAATAATAATAATAATAATAATAATAATAATAATAATAATAATAATAATAATAGTGTTAATATATGTAAATATATGTATATAACAGGCAGTTGACATTTTTGAACTGATCTTAATAGTCAGTTAATACCATCAGAATTTGCATTTATTGCATCCCTAACTATGATAGTTTTAATTAAAAATAAAATATAATAATCTAATTATATCGAATGTCATTAAAAACGGTTAAAACAATTTAAATTGCTTATAGTATTGTTTACTTTATTACTATATGATGTTCAATATTGAAATGGTAGTCTGTTAACTAACTATATATATTGTACACCAAATAACTATTTTTGTAACTTAAAAATTTAAATAAATTTTTTACATGAATTTTTATGAAATAAAAAATATTAATAATATATATTAAAATAATTAAACTATTAATAATTAGTTTACAAGACATACAATCATCCAAATAGACAGTTCCCATAGTTAGCAATACAAACAATAGAACTAGTTTTAAAAACATGATATTTTTATTTGTTAATAAATTTCTTAAGTGTAAATCATAAGTTATCTTATTGTATAATATTGTAAAACTAAATTTTTTATTATAATTTTGATTTAATAGTACAGTATTTTATGCTATTGTATCAAATAACATTTACATCAACAAATAGTCTAAATATAGTTTATATATTATAGATAATACTGTAGTAATAATAACAGATTTTTTTAATTCTATTTACGGTATAATATTGACGTTAAAAAAATAAGTTATTTTAAGAAATATTAACATAATGTGTATACAAATATACGTACACTTACATACAAACACATAAACACACGCATACAAAACAATTGTACATTTTTTTATTAAGCAATAAAAAACATATCGGTATATACTGAAAATAAAATATAAAAAATTGTTTTTAATAAAAAATATATATAAACCCATAATTTGTTTGTAAGTTATTTTTTAAATCTATGATTACTATAATAATAATCTTTAAAAAATATTAAAAAATTATTTATTTTTATATGTCTGTCTCTCTCTCTCTCTGTCTCTCTCTCTCTCTCTCTGTCTGTCATAAAAACAGAGAGACAAAAAAATTATTATTGTTATTTTAAAGTTATCATTTCTATTTTATAGTATTTATATACAAATAAATTATTTGTAAGTTTTTTAATAATAATCTACAATATAATTACAAAGTTCAATTTTTAATTAATGATTATTTTGTTATGTATTTTTATTTATTTAGGTACTATTTGATTTTTAGAAAAAATAATTTTTACATTCAAAAATTTAAAAAAATATCATTAACTGATTAATAAATTTATAACTTTTTTTTTAAATATAAATATAATTTATTTAATACAAATATTAATAAATTGTATTTTGTTTAGTTTGTTTTTTAATGATGTTTACACACATGATGGTCTTCATAGTAACCCTGACGCTCACATACTTGGCCTGATGTACAGCAAATTTGTTGCCCGCAGGCTTTCTCATCGTGTGGACATTCTAAATAAATATATATATATTTTTTAAAAAAATAACAATTATAATAATAATAATAAAATTAATTAATATATAAATAATAATTTTTTAAAAAAATAAAATAAATTACCACTACAGTTTGGTTCTGGTCCTGGTTTGCAAATTTCATTTTCTCTATTACAGGAAAAATCAGAAGGGCAAAAATGAATTATTCGTCTGTCATCTAAATAATAATAATAATAATAATAATAATAATAATAATTTTAATTTTATGTAAATATATATGTCATTAAAAACGGCTAAAACAATTTAAATTGCTTATAGTATTGTTTACTTTATTACTATATGATTTTCAATATTGAAATGGTAGTCTGTTAACTAACTTAAAAATTAAAATTAATATTATAAACCATAATTTGTTTGTAATTTATTTTTTAAATTTATGATTACTATAATAATAAATATAATTTTTATTTAGTAGTTTTATAACATTTTATTTTTATATGTCTCTCTCTGTCTCTCTCTGTCTCTCTCTGTCTCTGTCTCTCTCTGTCTCTCTCTCTGTCTCTCTCTGTCTCTCTCTGTCTCTCTCTCTGTCTCTCTCTCTGTCTCTCTTTCTCTCTTTCTCTGTCTGTCATAAAAACAGAGACAAAAAAAATATTATTGTTATTTTAAAGTTATCATTTCTATTTTATAGTATTTATATACAAATAAATTATTTGTAATTTTATTAATAATAATCTACAATATAATTACAAAGTTCAATTTTTAATTAATGATTATTTTGTTATGTATTTTTATTTTTTAGGTACTATTTGATTTTTAGAAAAAATAATTTTTACATTCAACAATTAAAAAAATATCATTAACTGATTAATAAATTGATAACTTTTTTTCTTTTTTTTAAATATAAATATAATTTATTTAATGCAAATATTAATAAATTGTATTTTGTTTAGAGTTTGTTTTTTAATGATGTTTACACACATGATGGTCTTCATAGTAACCCTGGTGCTCACATACTTGGTCTGATGTACAGCAAATTTGTTGCCCGCAGGCTTTCTCATCGTGTGGACATTCTAAATAAATATATATATTTTTTATTAAAAAAAATTAACAATTATAATAATAAATTTATAATTAATTTATATATAAATTATAATTTTTTTAAAAAAAATAAAATAAATTACCACTACAATTTGGTTCTTGTCCTGGTTTGCAAATTTCATTTTCTCCATTACAGGAAAAATCAGAAGGGCAAAAATGAATTATTCGTCTGCCATCTAAATAATAATAATAATAATAATAATAATAATAATAATAATAATAATAATAATAATAATAATAATTTTAATTTTATGTAAATATATATTTATTATCATATATCAGTCAGTCAGTTGACAGCATAAGCATTATTGATCGGATCTTAATAGTCAGTTAATACAGTTAATCAGAATTTGCATTTATTGCATCTATAACTATGAGTAGTTTTAATTAAAAATAAAAATATATAATTAACTAATTATATCGGATGTCATTAAAAACGGTTAAAACAATTTAAATTGCTTATAGTATTGTTTACTTTATTACTATATGATGTTCAATATTGAGATGGTAGTCTGTTAACTAACAATATATTGTACACCAAATAACTACTTTAGTTACATAAAAATTAAAATAATTTTTTTACATGATTTTTTATGAAATAAAAAATATTAATAATATATATTAAAATAATTATACTATTTATAATTAGTTTACAAGACATACCATCATCCAATTAGACAGTTCCCATAGTTAGCAATACAAGCAAAAAGACTAGTTTTAAAAACATGATATTTTTATATGTTAATAAATTTCTTAGCTTTAAATCATGAGTTATCTTATTGTATAATATTGTAAAACTAAATTTTTTATTATAATTTTGATTTAATAGTCCAGTATTGTATGCTATTGTATTAAATAACATTTACGTCAACAAATAGTCTAAATATAGTTTATATATTATAGATAATACTGTAGTAATAATAACAGATTTTAAAGTTCTATTTACGGTATAATATTGACGTTAAAAAAAACAGTTATTTTAAGAAATATTAACATAACGTACACTAACATACAAACACATATAGACACGCATACAGAAAAAAATATATATGTTTTTTATTAAGCAATAGAAAAAACATCGTTATATACTGAAAATAAAATATAAAAAATAGTTTTAATAAAAAAACTCTATGAACCTATAATTGATTAGTAATTTTTTAAATTTATGATTACTATTATACATACACATACACATACACATAAACATACACATACACATGCACATACACATACACACACACACACACATACACATACACATACACATACACATACACATACATAGAAATATACTAATAACTTATGCAATTTAAAAACAATAATATATATATATATATTAATAATTATAAATGACTTATAAAACAGAAAGTATTTATTTTATTTTATTTATAATTTGTCGCTACACACGAAACGATTTCACCATTGTGCTTACATTCTTGATCTACTTCACAGCAAGTAGTATGACCGCAAAGGAACGTATTATATGGACAATCTAAATATGTATAAAATAATAAATAAATAAATAAAAGAATAATAATTATAATAATAACAATTTAATTAATTATTATGAAAATAATAATTTTTCAACAAAAAAATTACCATGACACTTTCCTACTATTTCGTTATTAGCGTTAACTTCTTGTTTGCAAAATTGATTCCATTCCTTACAATATGTATAATAATTGCAACTAAATCCATCGTCTAAATAATATTATGTAAATTATTAATTATTATTATTAATATCAATAAGTAGAAAGCATTAGCATTATTGGACTTATAATATAATTATTAAAAACCAGAATTTGCATTTATTGCAACTATAACTATGAGTATATTTTTAATAATAATAAAAAAATTACTATTTTAGTGTCATAAATACTTTTTAATCAATTTGAATTGCTTACAAAACAATAGCTATATGATGTTCAATATTATGATTGAAAGCTGTTAGCTAACTATATATATATATTGTTTACAGCAAATAAATAGTTTAATAATTATTATTAATAATAATTAAAGTTATATTTTTACATTAATTGTTTAATAAAAGTATATTAATAATATATATTTGTATAAAAATTTAATTTATAATTAGTTTATAGGACTTACCTTCATCCAAATAGACAATTCCTATAGTTAGCAATACAAACAATAAGACTAGTTTTAAAAACATTATATTTTTTTGTTAATAAATTCAAAGTTATCTTATTGAATAAAATAGTAAAAAATAATTTATTATTAGAGTTTGTTTAATAGTACAGTATTGTATGCTATTGTCTCAAATAACATTTACGTCAACAAATAGTCTAAATATAGTTTATATATTATAGATAATACTGTAGTAATAACAGATTTTTAATTTATATTTATAATATTGACGTAATAAAAAATTTTCACAAATATACACATACTGTACATTTATATATATACATTAACACATACATACACATAATTTATACATTAATAACAATTAATTATTATTTTAAAAAAATATAATAAATATCAAATAAACAATACTTTTTAAAAGATAATATTTTTATTATTTATTTTTATAAAAAACTAAATATATTAATACAATATTAATTAAACATTTATTAATAGATTATTTTTTTATAAATAAGATATTGAATTGAAATTAACAAAAATTATACTTTATTTATTTGCTTTAAAAATAATAATTTTTTAAATAGACAAATATTTATAAATATTATTTTATTTTATTTTTAATTACATTATCTAAATATTAACATATTATGACAATTAACACATAGTCTAAAATATTAATAAAATTTATTAGATTCATAGTATTAGTTAAAATTATAGTAAGCTATTATTGAACATATAGTTAATAATATATAATAATTATATTTATTTTATAAAATTAGATAATTATCAAGTATTATATACATTACTGCACATTCAAAATAATGTTTATTACTTAATATAATAATAAAATAATTATAAAAATAACTATTACTTATAATATTGTAAATTATCATTTATATTAAACAAAAAAAATTCATTTAAAATAAGATAATGATTACAATTTAACAAAAAAAAACAATTAGTTATTAATAAATATATAGATGATCAATGTTAAAATTAGTTACAGTTTTTAATTTTTAATTATAAAATTATAAAATTATAGCCAAAAAACCAATCTCACCTATTTTGTGAGTGATTTATATTTTATTTATGATTTACCGGTATAATAAATAATTAATATTTTATTTTTTTTACTAATACTTTTTTAATAAAAAACTTATTGCTAATTTATAGAAAAATTTTGTTATTAATAATCATTGCACGAATCAATTTTACCAATATTACCTATTAATAAACCTAATAAATATTATTAAATAATAAAAACAAATCTTAAATTAATTATTTAAAAAAGCATGAGTTTTTTTTATTAAACTAAATTCAATTTATACAGCTGTAGCCTAGAAAATTTGAAAATAATAATTATTTTTTAAATAAAAATTATTAATTATTTATTTATACCCCAAATGACTGTAATTTTTGTGGCAATAATTTAGTATAAGACCATTGGTCTGAATAATAATCATATATTTCAACCAAATTAGTTAGTTCTTCAATACAATCTTGAATTAAATTTTTAATTTTAAAAAACTATTTTTTTATATATATATTATAAATACTTTTAATACATCCTCCCATTGCATATAGTTTATCATTGAATGCAATTAATTTAAATGAATATCGTTTAGTCATCATTGATGCTAATATAATATATAGTTTATTTATATAATTAAATATATATACAAAAAAATTTAATTAAATTATAATTAATTTTAATAATTTTTTTTTAACTAACCAATTGGCGTCCATTGGTTTGTTTGCGGATCATATGTTTCGCATGAATTTTCATCACTAGTACCCAAACCGCCGCAAACATATATTTTGCCCATAAATAATGCCGAACCGAAACTATATCTATTGTATATTATAAATATAATATAAATTAATATATAATTACTGTTAATTATTTAATAATACTAATAATATTGGTATTAATATTAATTATTATAAATTAAATAATACACATTTCTATTAATAATATTTTATAGTTAATAAAATAATAATTAGTCTATTATTTAACTAATTAATTATTTGCTATATAGTGTAAATTATTATTAGTTATTATTATTATACAAACCTTGATGATTGCATATTTGCTTTAGGAGTCCATTGTTTTGTATTTATATCAAACATTTCCATTGAATTCATTAAATCTTTACCATTATAGCCACCGATAGCATACATAAACCGATCACCGATTGATATCAATTCAAAACCAGATCTTTCACTAATCATTGGTGTTGTTGAAAACCATTTATCAATGTTTGATGAATAATATTCACATGATTTCAAATATTTATCTAAAATATAAATTATATATATATATATATAGTTAATAAAAAAATCTATTTAAAACATAATACAAAAATAACTTAATTAATTAATAAGTAATTTTAATTACCATTTTCACCGCCACAAACATAAATAGTATTATTAATTATTGCTGAACCAAAATCGCTAAATTTAATAAAAGAATTAAATAAAATATATAATTAAAAAATAAAAATAATAAATTTTATATATATTTATCAAAAAAAAACTTGAAAAGTTTTGTTTACTGAAATCTATAATGACTTTTTGAGTCTGTCTGCCTGTGTGTGTGTCGCATATTTTTTTGCGAATTTTGAAATTCTGACTTCAGATTCAGTTAGAGGACTACTAATAATGTATTGAAAAGTTGCATTAAAATTTTGATATCTCTACGGGAACATAGACAAAATGGCGGCAAAAGATAAAAAATTTTAAGTAAAATTTTTTAAGTATAGATTTGAATAAAACATCAAAAACAGGGATAAAAAATATGTATTAAAATTTTAATATCTCTTCGGGAACATAGAGAAAATGGCGGCCAAAGTAAAAAAATTTAGGTAAAAATTTTTAACGTTTAAAATTGTATAGAGCATAAAAAATAAGATATAATAGATCAAAATTATAATTTTATTTTTTCAAAAAATGGCGGCAAAAAATGATTATAGTTTGTTATAGTAAATCATTTGATACAACACATGAGTAGTTGTTTATTTTGTCATACTGAATCATATTATACCCTACATGACTAAAGTTGAATTTATTTTGTCATACCGTCATTTGATACATTATAAAACAATATTTAAATTATGTATATTTGACCAGCTTTTAAATTTTTATATGTTACTATATAGCCGCTATAATTATACAAACTAATGGTTTCAGTGCTATTTAAGTTTTTTTTTTAAAAATGCTTTCTAGCATTCTTAACTGGTTTTTAATTACTTTCGTATAATATTCATCGATGAAACCGATTTCCATATATTTGTTAGCGTATCGTATGTTTCAACAGTTTTAATCTAAATAATAATTTATAGTTTAATTAAATACCGTAAAAAAATTATTTAAAAAATACGATTTTTGTTTAATTAGCAATACTCTTGTAATAAATAAAACAATTTTTAAATACAGTATATATAAGCTTCAAATTACATTTTCACCACCGATTGCATACAATTTTGAATCCATTGAAACCAAACCAAAATTCATGCGTTCAGTAGACATGGATTGTATTGATTGCCAAACATCTAAATGATTATTATATTTATAACATTTTGATGTATACGGTGTTATCAAATCAAAACCACCGCATATATAGATAAACTTTTCCGATAATTGATTTTCTGTTAACTAATTCAAATAAACATAAAAATAATAACAAAACAATTATTAAATATATATTATATATAAATTTTTTTTTAATTTTATTACATTATTATTATTACTAGTAGTAGTAGTAGTAGTAGACGTATCTAATGTAATCACATTACAAGTGAATATTAACAAAACTAACGAATATTTTTCAATCATATTTTTTAATACAAACAATAATAAGTTATTTTTGTAAAAAAAATTATAAGTATTTTAATTATAACAAAACATAAGTTTTTTTATATTATATATATAGTGTATATATATATATAAATAAATATATAATGTATATTAACAAAGTTCAAGTGTTAATTATTTTATATTGACTTTCACATAGAAAATAACAATTAGTTTTTTTTATTTTAATAGTGATAAGTTTATTATTTATAAATTTATATAAAGATAAATAGTGTACTTTAACAACAAAAAATAATTAAGCATTATAATACCTGTATTTGTACTAAATTTTATTTTTATTATAAATCAATTTTTGATAAAAAAATAAGATTTTCAACAACAATAAAATAGTTTACGATATAACATAAAAAATTAATTAGTTACAATAAATAAATAATTGAATGATGTAATAAAAATTGGAAAACCTATTTTAGATTAATTAGTGTAAAACTATTTTAATATTAACAACTCTTATTATTATAATTTTAAATAATATATACTTAATAGCAATGTTTGGTAGGTAGGTATCAAATAATAGTAGATTTTTTTAGAAATCTAATAATAAATAGTTAATTTATAGTAATACTATAAATAACATTTGACTTTTTAAATGCTGATTATATAATAAATTAATATCAAAATTATTTTATATTTTAACTGTTTATTATATTAATTAAACAGTAAAATTGATTAAATATATAGTTTATAATAAATAGTATATTAATATACTATTAATTTATTAATTACTAATTAAATATCATATACATTATTTCATATAATAATAGTACTTATAGATAAAAACAATATTTTTAAAATAATAGTTATAATTAATTAATACTTGAATTTTCATATAATATAGATGTATAAAATCATTAGATAAATAATATTATGAAAATACTAGTCAATAGTTAATTAGTTAGTTTAATAATTAATTAGTTAATAGTCAAGTTAAAATATTATTAGAGTTAGAGATTGACAGACTCACTAAAATGTTCAAGGTTTAGTAATATAAACGTTTTGACTGTATAGTGTTTACATTAATAAACAAAATTTATTTAAAAAAAAAATTGGTAAAAACCGTCCAAAAATCTTGCAGTCACTTAATACGACCTCAATGGGTAGCGACCAAATTAATTGGTTAGATTGTATATGTGATACAATAGATTTTTGACAAATAAAAATTCGTCGATAGCTATGAATGGCTTTAACAATCTACTCGTTCCGTGAGAACCGACAGAGAGTAGTAACAAATTTTTTTTAATTATTTTATTTTATATATAAATTGTAATTTTATTTAACTTTAAAATTAAATTAACTAGTATATATAAATATTTTTCAAATTATAAAGTTTATTCAAAAATATTATTAATATCATTTTAAATAATAATAATTAATTCTAATTTATAAAACAGCAGCCTGAAAATTAAATATATAATTAAGATTAGTAAATATAAAATAAAAAATTTATCCTAGTTATATAGCTTAATAAATTATATATTTTTAGTTCATAACTAAAAAAATTAAAATACTTTTAATAATATTTAGTTATTATTTGCTATTTTTATTTGCTAAAATTAAATTTAAATAAAATATAGTATCTAACTATAATTAATTAATTTTTATTTATTTTCTCATAATTATTTTATTTCAAATATTAAATTATAATTATAAAATATCATTATAAAGTATATTTAAAATATCATTAATATCATTATCAATATACAATTCAATTTATAAAACAGTAGCCTGAAAATTAAAAAATAAAATAAAGATTAGTAAATATAAAAGAAAAATAAAAAAATTATTTATACCCCAAATGAGGAAATTTTTAGTGGCAATGATGTCGTATAATACCATTCATTTGAATAATGATCATATAATTCAACCGAATCAAATTTTACATTATCTAAATTAAATTTAAAATTACATTAAGTTTTTTTTAAATATTATAATAATATCATAATTTATTTCACTTACTTGTATATGAATTGCCACCTAAAGCATATAGATTATCATCGAAAGCAATTAATTTGAAATATGATCGATGAGTTTTCATTGATGCTAATAATATTAAAATAGTTAATTAATTTATAAAAATAACTAATGTAAACATTAGTTTACATTTAACTAAAAATACATTTTAAGCTAAACAAATGCATACCATTCCTATAAGGAATGGTATGTATTATATAAACATAACTACTCTTATTGCATCCAATAGGGATGCAATGAAGAGTCCAGTGGCAGAGGCCGCTCCCATCCACCACAAACAACAAAACCAGTTGTCGGCAACTCCGAGAGCGGAGTCGAGTTTTAGTTTTGAGAAATGTAAAAGTGAATAGAAAGAGAGAAATAAAGTGAATATTAAGAAAAATGTATTTGAATTTTGAAATTAATAAATAATAATAAAAAGTTAACGATAATAGTATAGTAAAGTGAAAAGTAAGTGAAAAGTAGGTGAAGGTTTTGAGGACACTCGGGAGGAGGACAACATACACACACACACTCGGGAGGAGGACAACACACACTCGGGAGGACAACACACACACACACACTCGGGAGGAGGACAACACACACTCGGGAGGAGGACAACACACACTCGGGAGGAGGACAACACGCACACCCACACGCTCACAACAACACACACACTCGGGAGGAGGACAACACGCACACCCACACGCTCACAACAACACACACACTCGGGAGGAGGACAACACACTCGGGAGGAGGACAACACACACTCGGAGGACAACACACACACCCACACACTCACAACACACACACTCGGGAGGACACACACACACACGGTGATTATGATTATAAAACACTTAGTATTTTATATGTAGTAGCACGCTTGAAGGRGCACCACCCAATCCATAATTATTATTTTATGTAGTATCTCACTATAAGYTTCAGTAGCCAATCAATACTTATTTTTGTAGTAGTAGCACGCTATTAGTTTCAGACGCCAATCAATAATTACATTTATGTAGTATCTCACTATAAGTATCAGTAGCCGATCAATACTTATCTTTGTAGTAGTAGCACGCTATAAGTTTTATATGCCAATCAATAATTAATTTTATGTAGTATCTCACTATAAGTTTCAGTAGCCAATCAATACTTATTTTTGTAGTAGTAGCACGCTATTAGTTTCAGACGCCAATCAATAATTACATTTATGTAGTATCTCACTATAAGTTTCAGTAGCCAATCAATACTTATTTTTGTAGTAGTAGCACGCTATTAGTTTCAGACGCCAATCAATAATTACATTTATGTAGTATCTCACTATAAGTATCAGTAGCCGATCAATACTTATCTTTGTAGTAGTAGCACGCTATAAGTTTTATATGCCAATCAATAATTAATTTTATGTAGTATCTCACTATAAGTTTCAGGAACCAATCAACATTTATTATTTTAGACCGTTACAATATATATATTTATAAACATAAAAAAACAATTAAATTATTTTATAAAAATGTTTCATATATTAATAATACTAAACCAATTGATGTCCATTGATTTGTTTTTGGATCATATGTTTCGCATGATTTTCCATCACTATTACCTTCACCGCCGCAAACATATATTTTGCCCATAAATGATACCGAACCAAAATCTGCTCTTTAATTATAAATATATTGGATAAAATAAATTTTATTAAAATAAATTAAATAACTTTTTGTTTTCAGTCATATTTATCTATCAATAAAATTATTAATGTTTATAAATAAAACTTTTTAAATAACAAATAATATTTTTTTTTAAATACTAACCTTTGGTAACCCATATTTGCCTTAGGAATCCATTGTTTTGTTTTTGTATCAAACATTTCCATTGAATTCATAAAATCATTTCCATTATAACCTCCGATAGCATACAGAAAGCCCTCGTGTGATACCAATCCTAAACCACATCTTTCAACATTCATAGGTGTTGTTAAATACCACAGATTAATATTAAGGGAATAATATTCACATGATTTAAAATATTTATCTAAATGTAAAATTTTAATTACCGGTAAATATTTACTTAATAAAACAATATAAAAATATAATTATATCTATAACATAAATAAATTAAAGTTAAATCTATTTTAAAGAAGAAAGTAATTATTATTGTTAATTAATTTTTTTAAAATACAATTAAAAAAATAATTTATTTACCATTACGTCCACCGCAAACATAAATAGTATTATTAACTACTGCTGAATCAAATTCACTTTGAAAAAATTAAAAATTACTTTTATATATTCTAATTAATTTAAAATTAAATAATAATACTATCGTAATATATTCATTGATGAAATCGATTTCCATGTATTAGTTTGCGTATCGTATGTTTCAACACTATTAAGACTTTCTCCATACTAAACAATTAATAATAATAATAATAAAATTATTTATTAAATAGGGCTAAAAATTCTTAAATAAATAATTGTTTTGTATTAGCAATATTTTCATCACTATTTTTTTAATTAGAAAAAATACAAATTTTTAGCATTACATTATAACCGCCCATTGCATACAATTTTGAATTCAATGAAACCAAACCAAAATCACTTCTAATAGTAGACATGGATTGTATGGATTGCCAAACATTGATGTGTTTATTATATTCATAACATTCAGCTAAATATTTTGATCCATCATTACCACCGCATATATAGATAAACTTTTCAGATAAGTTTTCTGTTAACTAAATTATTAAAAAAAAACAATAAACAGTTAATTAATAATTTTTGTTTATAAAAGAATATAACAAATTTTAAAATACATTAGAAATATTATAAGTAGTAGTAGTAGTATTAGTTATTGTGTTCAATGAAATTGCATTACAAGTAATAATTAACAATAATATTGAATTTAATTCAATCATATTATATTTTTACAATCAATATTTAGCTATAACAAGAAAAATTTATTAAAAATTTTATTATTATTAACTAAACACTAAGTTTTTATACTAATTACAACAATATATAAAATATAATTAGTTTTAATCAAAGTATTATAAAGTATATTCATGTATATTAAAACAAAGTTCAAGTAGTAATTAATTATAACTTTCACTTAAAAATAGTTATTAGTTTTAATCTAAAATAAAATAATTTTTTTTAAGTTATCTAAGTACTTATTTGAAAAAAGTATATTTAATACCTAATAATTACTTTAATTATTATTTTAATATTATATTTAGATTTAATTATTTATAAATTTTATGTACTGTTTTGTTTAAAAAATATTACTTAATTTAATTTATTATGTTATTATTATTATTATTATTAACTATATCTTATAACTATTATACTTAGAATTTCAAATTATATATTTATTTCAAATGTTTTATTAAATAAAAAAGTAGATTAGCAATTATTATCAAAATTTTTTTAAATAATTTATCAAATATTAATTGATTTATATATAGATAACTTGTAATAAATTTTATTATAATTATACTAATACTAATAAATATTATTTGACTTTCAAGTGCTGATTATATAATAAAGTACAGTATTATCAAAACTATTAAATGTTTTATCTGTTTATTATATTAATTAATAATAAATATATAACTTTCATAACAATTAAATATATTTATTATTTATAACTATTAGTATATTGATATTACATTGAGAAAAATATTAGTAATTTATATGAATTTAAATCACTATTATAGAAGTTATTTATTAAATTTTTTTCTAAAATATAAATTTATTTACCTATAAAATAAATATTTATACTTAAATTTAAATTAATATAAATTAATATATATTTAATTTGATATATAAAACATAAAAATAATATTTAATTCAAAAATTAGATAATTATCAAGTACTACACATTCAAAAATAATATAAATTATTTAATATCATAATAAAATTTTTATCAAAATTTTTTTTAATTAATCATATAATTATTTGTAATAATCACTATTACTTATAATATTATAAATTAACATTTATAGTAATCAAATAAATGTCATCAAATAATAATATTTTGTTATTATTTGCTAGTATTATATAAATGATTTATTAAAATTAAATATAAATAAAATAAAATAAAATTAATTTTCTCATAATAATTTTATTTCAAATATTAAATTATAATTATAAAGTATCATTATAATATATAATTAATATCATTATCAATATACAATTCAATTTATAAAACAGTAGCCTGAAAATTAAAAAATAAAATAAAGATTAGTAAATGTAAAAAAACAAAATAAAATTTTTTATTTATACCCCAAATGATCTCATTTTGTGTGGCAATAATGTCGTATATGACCATTGATTTGAATTATGATCATATATTTCAACCGAATCAGTATATACTTGATCTAAATTAAAATGAAAATAAATTAATTAACATTTTTTTTAAAAATATTATAATAATATCATAATTATGTTTCAATTACCTGTAGATGAATAGCCACCCAAAGCATATAGATTTTCATCGATGGCTATCAATTTGAAATTTGCTCGCTGAGTTTTCATTGATGCTAATTATATATACAGGTATATATCAATTTATAAAAAACAAACAAAAAATAATTAATTAATTTATATAAAGTTTAATTTATTTTATTTTATTTTACAAACCAATTGGTTTCCATTGATTTGTTTGCGGATCATATGTTTCGCATGATTTTCCATCACTAGTACCCCAACCGCCGCAAACATATATTTTGCCCATAAATGATACCGAACCGAAATCTTGTCTTTTTTATTTAATTTAATCATTCAATTAAATATTATTAATTTAAAAAAGATTTTTTTTAAATAGTCACATATTTATCACATTAATAAATTTTGAGAGAGAGAGTCTTAAATAGCGGCAATGCTATTAATTGCAATTATCTTGTAAACAATACGTTAGATTTTAAAACTGACCAAGATGGCAATTTTAATAAGTAATTTTAAACTAAATAAAATTGTAATTGGTCATTTTTGTTTAATTAGTTGTATTATATATGTCAGATAATTAACAGTCGACTGACTATACATTATATGGCTAATCATACAATTAATTTGTAAAATGAGCAATATAATTTTATTTAGATTACAAATTATCTACAACATTGTCACCTTTTAAATCCTTAGTTTTGCTGACCAGACAATTGTCTCAAATCTCATAAATTTTTAAAAATGTTTAAAAATAAAACTTTAAAAAATTTCTATTTAATTTAATTTTCTAAATAACAAATAATAGTTTTTTTAAATAATACTAACCTTTGGTATATCATATTTTCCTTAGGAATCCATTGTTTTGATTTTGTATCAAACATTTCCATTGAATTCAAATATCCATTTCCATTACGACCGCCGATAGCATAGAGAAACCTATCACCGATTGATACCAATCCTAAACCATATCTTTCAACATTCATAGCTGTAGTTGACTGCCATTTATCAATGTTTGGTGAATAATATTCACATGATTTAAAAATTTTATCTAAAATATAAAATTTTAATTTAAATATTCAGTAATAAAACAATATACAGTATATATATGTAATAGTATACACTAAAAATATAAATAAATTAAAGTAAAATATGTTTTAAAAAACAACGTAATTATTTATTTACAATCTCCAAGTCCACCGCAAACATAAATAGTATTATTAACTATTGCTGAATCAAGTTCACTTTAAAAATAAAAATATAAAATAAATTATATTTAAAACATAAAATAATTTATAATTGAAATAAAAATTATTTTATAATAAATTATAAATACTTTCGTAATAAATTCATCGATGAAACCAATTTCCACGTATTTGTTTGCGTATCGTATACTTCAAGACTATTAACTCTTGATTTACTCTAAATAATAATAATAATAAAATAATAATTATTATTATCAAAAATAATCAATTAATAATATTAAATTAAATTGATAATTATTGTTTTTTTAATTTACAATATTTATAACTTTTTTTTAAAAAATAAAAACATTTATATATTTTAATAATTTTTTTAAAAATTACATCATAGCCTCCGATTGCATACAATTTTGAATCCATTGAAACCAAACCAAAATCCTCTCTAATAATAGACATGGATTGTATTGATTGCCAAATATTTGTTTGTTTATTATATTTATAACATTCAGACAACCATTTCGTGCCAATACTACCACCGCATATATAGATAGACTTTTCTGATAAGTTTTTTATTAACTAAAAATTATTTAAAAAAACAAATATATTAAAAACAAAAAACAGTTAATAATTAATTTCTGTATATAAAAAATATTAGAAATTTTTAGTACATTATTATTATTATTATTTGTAATATGCGATGAAATTACATTAATAGTAAAAATTAACAATAGTATTGAATTTAATTGAATCATATTTATTTTTGCAAACATTTTTATTAGTTATATAAGAAAAATAAGTCAATAAAATTATTTATTTTTTTAAATTGTATTATTATTATTGACAAAACACATTGTTTTTATACTATTTTAAAAACACTTAATATAGGTTAATATCAAGATAATATATCTAGGTTAATGATTAACTTTATATATATAGGAATTTTTAGTTAGTATTATAGTTTATAAAAAGTACCATGCTAAAATTAATCTCAAATATAGACTAGTACAAATTGATTAAACTTTTTATCTTAGTCAAAATTTAATATTTTGTCTAATTTCTTGAAAAGTATCATGCTTAAATTAATAACACATATAGATTAATACAAATTAAATAAACTTTTTATCTTAGACATAGTTTAATATTTTTTCTAATTTATTGAAAAGTATCATGATAAAAATAATTACACATATTGACTAGTACAAATTGTACAAACTAGTACAAATTTTTTATCTTAGTCATGGTTTAATATTTTTTCTAATTTATTGAAAAGTACCATGATAAAAGTAATCTCAAATATAGACTAGTAAAAATTAAATAAATTTTTTATCTTAGTCTTAGTTTAACAATTTGTATAATTTACTAAAAAAGTACCATGATAAAAGTAATTATACATATAGACTAGTACAAATTCAATAAACTTTTTATCTTAATCACAGTTTAATATTTTTTCTCATTTATTGAAAAGTACCATGCTAAAAATTAATCACACATATAGATTAGTACAAATTAAATAAACTTTTTATCTTAGTCATAATTTAATATTTTTTCTAATTTATTGAAAAGTACCATGATAATATTAATCATACATATAAACTAGTACAAATTAAATATACTTTTTTATCTTAGTCTTAGTTTAATATTTTTTCTAATTTATTGAAAAATCTTATAATTATTGTTATCTATAAATAATTATTTTATTTATAATAATTTTGAACATAATATATACATATATAATACAGTAAATAATATTTTTCAATAAATTAGGCAATATATTAAATTCTCACTAAGATAAGTTTATTTATTTTGTACTAGTCTATATATGTGATTACTTTTATTATGGTGCTTTTCAATAAGTTAGACAATATTTTAAACTATCACTAAGATAAAAAGTTTAAATTTGTATTAATTTCTGTGATTTTTTTATCACGTTATTTTTAAAAAATTATAATAATAACTCAAAATTACTATATATAAAAGTTAATCACTGACCTAGATATGTTATCTAGATATTAACCTAGTAGTTTTAATTTCAATTATATATATATATATATTTTTGAAATGTTTTATGAAATAAAAAATATATTATTTTTAATAATTTATCAAAAATAAATAGAATCATATGTAAGTTTTGTAATATATATATTTTTTTATTATTATAGTAATACTAATAAATAACATTTTGATTTACTTGTGCTGATTATACAATAAAGTATTAATAATTTTAAAAATTTATTTAATGTTTTGTTTGTTTATTATATATTCATTAATAATAAAATATATTAACTTTTATATCAATTAAATATACAGTTTATAATTAATATTATTATTAATTTATATTTATTTTAATTGCTATTACGCTAATTATTTATTAGATTTTCTAAGTTAAAAAATAAAAATTTATATAACTTTTATAATAATAATTTAAATAAATTTATATTTAATTGAATTAATAAAACATAAAAAATACAATTTATTTAAATTTATATTATTAGCAAATAATACAATTTAGTAATAAAGTCTACTCTACTCTCAAAATAATATATCTGTGTTTATTATTTATAATTTATTTAGTAAACTTATTATTATCAAAATTAATTATTTATGATTTAATTTTCATGTTTATTATAGTTATATTACATAATAATTTATATATATTTTTTTCATATATCGTATCAATTAAAAAACATTTAAATTGTTTAATAAATATTAAAAGATTATTTATCAATATCATATTATAAGAATGATTTATTAAAATTAAATATAAATTAAACATTTTACAATATAGCATCATTGCATAATTAATTAATTATGTATTAAATAACTCATAATAATGTGTATTTAAAATATAATTATTATAATTATTAATAATAATACGACATTTAATTAAATTTAATTTATATAACAGTAGCCTGAAAATTAATAAAAACAAAAATACTTTAGATTAGTAAATATAATATAAAAATTATTATTTATTTATTTATACCCCAAATGATCGCATTTTTTGTGGCAATGATGTCGTATATGACCATTGATTTGAATTATGATCATATAATTCAACCGAATCAATATATTGATTAACTGAATTTTAAATTAAAAATTTTTAATTAACTTTATTTTTTTAATAATAATAATATCATAATTTATTTTCAATTACCTATTGTTGAATAGCCTCCTAAAGCATATAACTTATCATCGAAAGCAATCAATTTGAAATATGATCGACGAGTTTTCATTGATGCTAATTATATATATAAAAAATTAAATTAATTTATATAATATTTTTAATAAAATTTTAATTTTATTTTTCACAAACCAATTGGTTGCCATTGATTTGTTTGCGGATCATATGTTTCGCACGATGTTTCATCGTTATTACCCCCACGACCGCCGCAAACATATATTTTGCCCATAAATGATAACGAACCAAAATTTTGTCTAGTTAATTATTTTTAATTATATTGCAAAAAATATTATTAATTAAAAAAAATTATAAATAAATAACATATTTTTTTAATTGAGTGACACATTTTAACACATCAATATTTTTTAAACAATATAATGTTAAAAAAATAAAACAACCGTAAAATCGTGTTTTATTTCCCATATGGAATTTAATAAAAAAAATGAAAAATTTTCATATGGTAAAAAAACTCGCAATTATTTACCACATTTGGTAATAATTAAGCACTAAATTTATTATTCAAAGTAAAAAAACTTATTTTAATATGGGAGAAAAGTCGCATTATTTCCCAGGACAGACATTTCCATATGGGAATAAAAACACATTTTAACAGTAATTTCTATTTAATTTAATTTTGTAAATAACAAATAATAGTTTTAAAAAAAAACAATACTAACCTCTGGTATACCATATTTGTCTTAGGAATCCATTGTTTTGTTTTTGTATCAAACATTTCCATTGAATTCATAAATCCATTTATATTACGACCGCCGATAGCATACAGAAACCCTTCATTGATTGATACCAATCCTAAACCATATCTTTCAACATTCATAGCTGTAGTTGATTGCCATTTATCAATGTTTGGTGAATAATATTCACATGAATTAAAAATTCTAACTAAATGTAAAAATTTTTAAATTAAATATTCATTAATAAAACAATATTCATATTTATAAAAATTATTATAAATAGCTAAATATAAATAAATTAGAGTAAAATCTGTTTTTTTAAAAGTAATTATTAATTGTTAATTAATTAAACAAAAAAAATAATAATATTTTATTTACAATCACCAAGTCCACCGCAAACATAAATAGTATTATTAATTACTGCTGAATCAAAGTCACTTTAAAAAAATTTAAAATAATTTATAATTGATAAATAAAAATATATTTATAATAAAATTTAAATACTTTAAATTTAAATTCATCGATGAAATCGATTTCCATGTATTTGTTTGCGTATCGTATACTTCAACACTATTTATTCTTGATTTACTCTATAATAATATAAAATATAATAATTATTAAAAAATAATATTTACTAACAATAAAATTAATAATTCTTTTTTTTTTAATTTAACAATATTCATAACTTTAAAAAACATTTATAAATTTTAGTTAAAAAAAATATTTTATTATTACATTCCAACCGTCTATTGCATACAATTTTGAATCCATAGAAACTAAACCAAAATCCTCTCTAATAGTAGACATGGATTGTATTGATTGCCAAATATTTGTTTGTTTATTATATTTATAACATTAAGAAAAATATTTTGATCCATCATAACCACCGCATATATAGATAGATTTTTCCGATAAATTTTCATTTAACTAAAAATTATAAAAAACAAAATATATTAAAAAACAAAACAAAAAAAACAGTTAATAAATAATTTCTATGTATAAAATAATATATTAAAAAATTTATCGTACATTAGAAATATTAGTAGTATTAGTAGTATTAGTAATATGCGATGAAATTACATTATAAGTACAAATTAACAATAATATTGAATATAATTGAATCATATTTATTTTTACAAATATTTTATTTAGTTAACAAAATAAGTAAATAAAGTTATTTTTAAAAATTGTATTATTATTATTGTATTAAACACTAAGTTTTTATACTTTTTTAAAACAATATATAAACTATAATTTATTATATTTTATCTAATCTAATAAGTAATTTTATAAAATTTAAGAAGTACTATGTTGAAAAATATTATTAAAAGTTTCTAGCTAAATACTATCTAGTATATATATATATTTTTATATTAACCAAGATATATTAACTAGATATTAACCTAGAAATACGCTAGGTTTGTTTATAACAATGTTCAAGTAGTAATTAATTATAACTTTTACTGTACTTAGAAATAGTTAACAGTTTTAATCCTAAATTACGATAAATTTTAATTAATCTATATATAAACGTACTAATATATTAAAAATTTAACAAGTATTTAACAAGATAGTTTTGAATAATATTATTAAAAGTTTCTAGGTAAATACTATCTAGTATATATATATATTTTATATTAACCTAGAAATTTTTTATGTTTGTTTTTCCAATTAGTGTATATTATAATACAAAGTTCAAATAGTAATTAATTTTTAACTTTTACTTAGAAATAGTTAATAATTTTAAGTTCAATTACGATAAGATTTTTTTATCTATATTTAAGTACAGATACTAATATATTAAAAATTAAAATTTATAAAAGTATTTAACAAGATAGTTTTGAAAAATATTATTAAAAAAAGTTTCTAGATATATACAGTTTATTTATTATATTAACCAAGATATATTATCAATAAATAACCTACAAATATGTTAAGCTTGTTTATAATAAAGTTTAAGTAGTAATTAATTATAACTTTTACTTAGAAATTTTAGTACTAATATATTAAAAAATAATATATTTAATACTTAATAAATAAATTATTATTTGTAATATTATATTTAAAAAATAATAATTTTATTATTTATAAATTATATATATATATATATAGTTTAGTTTAAACAATTTTAGTTTTAAAAAGTTAATTATTATTCATATCTAACAACTATTATTATTATATTATTTTTACTTTATATATATACTAAATAGATTAGGATTAGAAATAAAAAATAGATTAGCAATTATTATCAAAATTTTTAATAATTTATCAAATATTAATAGATTAATATATAAAGTTTTGTAATATATTTTTTTATTATTATAGTAATACTAATGAATAACATTTTGATTTTCAAGTGCTGATTATAATAAAATACTAACAAACCTATTAAATGATTTATCTGTTTATTATATTAATTAATAAGAAATATATAACTTTTATAGCAATTATTTATATATATATATCGTTTATAACTATTAGTATATCGATATTTATTATTATTGATAATTATCAAGTACTGCACATTCAAAATAATATTTATCATTTGATATCACAATAAAATTATTATAAAAAATATTAATAATATAATTATTTGTAAAAATGACTATTACTTAAAATGTTGTAAATTATTATTTATAGTACATAACAACAACAAAAAATAAGTTATTAATAAATAAATCGATGATCGATAGTTGTCGTCATAAAAATTACAACAAATTTAAATAAATTTTTTTAAAAAATTAGTTTTCTACTTTTAAATAGAAAAGTTATAACCATTAAAACCAATCTCACCTATTTTGCAAGTGATTTATGTTTTATTTATTATTTAATTTTCATGTTTATTATAGTTACTTAATAAATTATTTATTTTTTATTCATACATCGTATCAATTAAAATACATTTAAATTGTTTAATAATATTTAGCTAATAATATTTATATAAATGATTTATTAAAATTAAATATAAATAAAATATTTAAAAATATAGTATTACTGTATAATTAATTATTTTCACATTATAATTTTATTTCAAATAATTAAATTATAATTATAAAATATATTTAAAATATCATCAATATTATTATCAATATGATTTTATTTATAAAACAGTAGCCTGAAAATAAAAATAAAATACTAGATTAGTAAATATAATTTTAAAAGTTATTATTTATACCCCAAATGATTTCATTTTTTTTGGTAATAATGTCGTATAATACCATTCATTTGAATAACGATCGTATACTTCAACCGAATCAATATATACATTATCTAAAATAAATTGAAAATTAAATTATCTTTATTTAAAAAAATATTATAATAATATATTTTATTTCAATTACCTGTATATGAATAGCCACCCAAAGCATATAGATTTTCATCGAAAGCAATCAATTTAAAGGACGATCTTATAGTTTTCATTGAAGCTATCATTTCATTATAAATATTGTGATACAAAATGTAAAATAAAGAAAAAATTATTAAATTAATTTTTTTTAATTTAATAAATTATTATTATTAAAAACCAATTGGTGTCCATTGATTTGTTTTTGGATCATATGTTTCACATGTTTTTTCATCAGTATTACTATAACCGCCGCAAACATATATTTTGCCCGTAAATGATACCGAACCAAAAAATACTCTTTAATTTTAAATATATTGAAAATATTAATTTAATAAATGATTTTTTTTAAATTAAATAGCTTTTTTTCTGAGTCACATTTATCTATCAATAAAATTTTCAATATGTTATAAGTAGGGTTAGATTGAGATTCTCAGGGAGGGAAGTTCCCAAATAAAATCCCTCCAATTTTCCCGGAAAATATGGCAAATATATTATATTCCCTCCCTTGATCGTTAGAAAGGGAAAATATAAATTGTCATACATTAAAAAGTACCTAATCTCAATGACTATGTGTTTCAATTGGCACCAGTATGTTAGTAATAACTCAATCAAAATATGATTCAAATAATATTAAACATTTAGTAAAAACATTAAATACATTTTGTAGACATTTACTATAAAAACATGTTTTTAATAAAACATTATGTAATGTGAGTTGTGGTACCACCTATCGTACCCTAAGGAAATGTCTTCCCAGGGAATTCCCAGGGAACAGGGAATATAAGGAACTTATGGAATATAAGACGAGGGAGGGAATCTAATCTTACCCTAGTTATAAGTAATAACAATAAAACTTCAATTTCTAATTAACAATTAAATAAAAATATACAAACCTTTGGTATTCCATATTTCCCTTAGGAATCCATCGTTTTGTTTTTGTATCAAACATTTCCATTGAATTCAAATATCCATTTCCATTACGACCTCCGATAGCATACAGAAACCCCTCGTGTGATACCAATCCTAAACCACATCTTTCAACATTCATAGGTGTTGTTAAATGCCATTTATTAATGTTTAGTGAATAATATTCACATGATTTAAAATATTTATCTAATTGTGTAAAATTTTTAATTAAATATTTACTTAATATAAAATATAGAAAAATATAATTATAACTATATATAAATAAATTAAAGTAAAATCTATTTTAAACGACAAAGTAATTATTATTTTTAAAAATACAATTAAAAAAAAATAATTTATTTACCATTACCTCCACCGCAAACATAAATAGTATTACTAATTACTGCTGAATCAAATTCACTTTAAAAAAAATTAAATAAAAATCACTTGTTTTAATTAATTTATATTTAAATATTATAATATTTTATAATAAGCTATAAATACTTTCGTAATATATTCATCGATGAAACCGATTTCCATGTATTTGTTTGCGTATCATATGTTTCAACACTATTATCTCTAGCTTTAGACTAAATAATTAATAATAATAATAATTAAAAATATTAACTTATTACAGTTAAAAATTATTAAATTTATAAACGTTTTTTTTAATTTGCAATATTCATAACTTTTTAAAAAAAACAATTATATACTTTATTTTAAATATATTATTTTTTAATTAATTTTTTTTAATTACATTATAGCCGCCCATTGCATATAATTTTGAATCCAATGAAACTAAACCAAAATCACTTCTAGTAGTAGACATGGATTGTATTGATTGCCAAACATTTGTGAATTTATTATATTTATAACATTCAGACAACCATTTTGATAAATCTTCACCACCTCATATATAGATAAACTTTTCCGATAGGTTTTCTGTTAACTAAATTATAAAAAACATTTAATAAATAATTTCTATATATAACAGAATATAACAAATTTCAAGTACATTAGAAATATTATTATTATTAGTTGTATTAGTAGTAATGTCTGATGAAATTACATTAATAGTAAAAATAAACAAAACTATTGAATATAATTGAATCATATTTATTTTTACAAATATTTTTATTTAGTTATAACAAAATAAGTAAATAAAATTTAATATTATAATTGTATTATTATAACTAACATTAAGATTTTATACTATTAAAAAATATTTAGGATTATATTCATGTACTGTATATTAAAACAAAGTTCAAGTGTTAATATATTACATAACTTTCACTTAAATATAGTTAATATTATTTTTTAATTTCAATGACGATAATTATTAACTGTTTATTATTATAATAATTAATTTTTGAATTATTATTGATTATATTTTATTACTATTTATAACAATATATATTATATAAATATTATTATATCTAATCTATATATATATATTTCGAAAACAAACTTTTTAAATCTTTTAAAAGTTAATGTAGATAATTATAAACTAAAATTTTAACAAAATTTTCAGCAATAATCTGTATATACTGTATGTCATCAGAAACTTTCAATAATTAGTTTTTTTAATATGAAAATTAAATGTAAAATTTCTATTGATTTAGTATCGATATAATCACTTATTTAAATGATATTTAATTTGATTTAATGTTGAGACCAATTGTGAGGCTAAAAACAAAATTTTAATTATTTTTAAAAAATTATAAAACATAGTTTTGAAAAAATCATTAATAGTTTCTAGGAATAAATATATATATATATATATTATATCTAGATATTAACCTTCAAATATGTTAGATTTGTTTTGGAAAGTAGTGTATATTATAATACAAAGTTCAAGTAGTTATTAATTATAACTTTCACTTAAAAATAGTTTTATTTTATCTATATATATACTAGTATATATATAAGTACTTATATGAAAAATAATATATTTACTACTTATTAAATTAATTGTTAATATTATATTTAAAAAATAATAATTATATTATTTATAAATTTGATATATAGTTTAGTTTAAACAATTTGAAATTTACATATTTAAAAATAGTTTTTAAAATAATTATTATACATATATAACAACTATTATTATTATAATTTTATTAATATATTATTTTTACTTTATTTATATATACTTTAAATGTTTTATTAAATAAAAAAATAGATTAGTAATTATTATCAAAATTTTTAATAATTTATCAAATATTAATTAATTTAATATATAATGTTTTGTAATATATTTTATTATTATTATTAAAGTAATACTAATAAATAACATTTTGATTTTCGAGTGCTGATTATCTAATAAAGTATTTTCAAAATTATTATGTTTTATCTGTTTATTATATTAATTAATAATAAAATATATTAACTTTGATAGCAATTAAATATACAGTTTATAGTTAATATTATTATTAATTCTTATTAATATCAATTGTTATTGCGAAAATTATTTATTGATTTTTAATATGTAAAATATAAAACTATAAAACTTTAATAACAATAATTTAAATAAATAAATATTTAATTAACTTATAAAAAACTTTATTAAAAATTATTAGCAGTCTATTAATATTCTCTAATAATTTTTTCTTGCCATAAATTTTCAATACAAACTTGCTATTAAAATATTTATTATTTTTTTTATTTATACTTATATGATGTGTTATCGACCAACACTTACATCTAACAATATAATAATTAAACTTACAATTAAATAATCGATAGCTAAACAATATAGCTATATTACAGTTAATAATTAATTAATTAATTAATAATGACAAGTATTATATTATAGTGTGAGCCGCGGCTTTGTGAACGATTCAGGTCGGCCGCCGGGTATCACAACTATACCGGACCGGGTTATGTGTGTCACCGGACTCTGGTAACACTTTATAACAATATTATGTTTTATATAACTTACTATTTATTACTGTAGTATACTATCCAACTAATTGGTATACCAGTACTTAAAACAACTTTAATTCCAATCGATATTATAATAATTATTTATTATATCAATAATAAGTTTATAAATATTACAAATTAAATTGTGACGGGCATATATGAGTATTTACCCGTCAAATGCCCGTAAAGATAATTTTACGAAGCAATATGCAATGCGGGGTATGATTGATAGGGAACTGTGACGTAATTACTGTACGGGTTACTATATGAAGACTATTTAAGCGTAACGGTATATTTGTATGGGTTATCTATTACGCCACAGTATATCTGAACGGCCCATTCGGGGTTCTGGTCACTGGTAACTGCGCTGTATATCGGTATTAGTATTCGGAAGGCTTGTATCGGAACTTGGAAGGACTCGTCCGTAAAATGACGGAATTATAGCCCAACTCTTTTACACCTAAGGCTTGCACTTACTATTCAAATAATTAGTACAACTGTTTATGATTCTTGAAGCCCATCCTAGACTAGCTATTGCTAGCCTGAGCTTCCCTTTTATTGATTATTATAGTGAGATAGTCAATACATTACATTTATTGCCAATTACAGTATTTTAAACATAATAATAATTAATTTAACTTATTTACATAATTAATAATAAAGAATAAATCAATTTAAACAAATAAACATAATATTAAGTAATTAGTAATAATAAGTAAATACAAAATTAATTATAATATGAATTTATAATTAAATATAATTAAATAACTATGTTTAGTTAAAATATACTTTAACATATAATAGAGAAAATACATTAATATATACAGTAGAGTATAGTTATAACTACAAAATAACTTTGTATTGTTTTGGTGACACTGGAACCGCTTAAGTGATGTATAGACCATCACAAAATAATATAAATATTAAATAGTAATTAATGTCATAATAGTTAACGTTATAGCGGACCCTTCCAAAGCCTTAATAATATTTTTAATAAATATTTCTCTAATATATAATAATAATAATAATTTAGATATCATATATGGCTATCCCATATATGGATAAAACATCCGCCAAAATTATAAAATACATATTAAAATAAAATGTAATTAATTTATATTTTATAATTATTATATAATAATAATAAAATATTGATTAATATTGTTATATATTGTATATAGCATCTTATATATAAAAATCAGTAGCCAGAATAATACAAAATTAAATAGTTTACATTTAATAAAAATTAATATTTTTATTATTATTTATGATAATACAATATAAGTACTTAATTACACWACCAAACGCCTGAATCAGCATTAGTATAAAATAATATTATATTTTATAATTTAAAATAAAGTTTATTTTATTAMATATAATGCATAGAACTCTTAATCGTGAAATAATTGATAACATAAATTTTAATTAAATAATATAAGGTATATGTATAAAATCTAATATAATAATAATAATAATAATAAAATAACATAGTTATAATATCTTATTTGAAAAATTTAAATATATATAAAATACTTAATATATTTAATTAAAATAATCATAATATATAATTCATTTCATTATAATAAAGAAATATTGAAATTATTAAAAAATATATATAAAAATATAAATTGGCATTATTTTTAAAAAAAATCAATGTATTAATATTTTTTAAAACATTTAACAAATATATATATATATATGGGTTGTTCATTACTTGGTGTCGTTTTATTTCTAATATTTCAAATGTAAAATTAACCATTATACAATAAAATTTAATTATCTATATAATGTCCATCATTAGCAATGACTTTCTGCCATTTTTCAGGCAAAGCCATAATCCCCTTCTGAAAGTAGTCCTTTGATTGAGAGCCAAAAAACTCATCGATGGTTTTTTTGATATCATCGATTCCAGTGAATGTTTTTCCATTAAGAAACGTCTGTAAATTTCGGAACAAATAATAATCTGAAGGTGCGATGTCTGGAGAGTATGGTGGGTGAGGTACAACCTTCCAACCCAACTCTTTCATTTTATTTTGAGTCATTCTTGAAGTATGACTCGACGCGTTGTCTCTTTGATATCTAATCCTATTACAATTAATTAATCTTGGACGTTTTACCATCAATACTTCTTTAAGTCTGTCCAATTGTTGACAATAGAGCTCAGATGTTATCGTCCGACCATATTCGAGAACTTCATAATGAATAATACTAATCCAATCCCACCAAACACACAGCATTGCCTTCCTAGGATTGAGGTTTCTTTTCGGCGTCTGTATCGCAGGTTCTTCAGGATCGACCCATTGACCACCTATGACAGGGTTTTCGTAATACACCCACTTCTCATCCATTGTCACTATTTGTTCCAAAAATGGAACGTCTTTGAGATCTGACAGCAAACGTCGACATGTCTCTACTCGATTGGCTCTTTGTTCGGGTGACAAATCATGTGGTACCCATTTTCCGATTTTATATACTTTGCCAATTTCGGTCAAATGGTTATATACTGTAGTTCGACAAACCCCATACTTATGTGACAAATCGTGAAGAGTTTGCCTCGGATCCGCTTCTATTTCTTTCAAAAGAACTTCATTATCGATGACAATAGTAGGGTGTCCTCGACTCTTATCCACAAGAGATCTGTCATTCGATTTAAATCGATCAAACCATCTCTGAACTTTTCGAACACCAATTGATTCGGGGTATACTTCATTGATCCGTTTTGTCGCTTCGGTGGCATTAATTCGGCCCAATTTCTTCATTCGATCAAATTCGTATAAAATACAATGCCGAATATGTTCTTCTTCGGGAGACTGGTCAGCTTCGGTGGACATATTGTTATCACAAATGTTTGATTGATATGTCTACTTGTGTTTACAAACAGAAAACAATATGATATTTGTAAAATACTATTCACAAATACCGTTACAAAAAACGTATCAAAATACGACATCGAGTGTTAAACAAACTATATATAAGTTCAATAAGTTCTATGACTATTTTTAGTGAAGAAGACTAAGAATTTGTTCATTTTTCTTTTTGATTTCAATTTCGAAATCAAGAWTCTTAGAAATCAAAGTATAGTTTAGTGTAACCAGACTTTCATTTGTTTCCACGATTTTCTTCAATTGATTGCGTAATTTTTGAATTTCGATTATAAGGTTTTCATTTGTCAATTTTTCGACTTCATAAATTTTGATTAAATTTTTGTGCTTGATATTAAGATTATAAATTGATGCATTTGCGTGTCGCAGATCTTGGGTAATTTTTCGGACATCAAATGTCGGATTTCTTTCAATTTCTTCGACAATCCATTTATTTACAACATTACTTAAATGTTTTCTGTAATTTTCTTCCTGTAGATAATGATAAATATAAGAAAATAATTTTTAAAAAATCAAATTTAAATAAAAATATATTAATAAACGCATTCACATATATTTAGTAAAACATTTAGTTAAACAATTTATTAAAGGTAATATAAATTAATTTTATGCTTTTATTAATTTTTTAATATATAGTATATAACAATAAATAGATTGTATCATATATATATATATAACATTTATGTCATAGAACTAAAATATTCAAAAGTTATAAAATATAAGAACAATGTTCACTAATTATTACAATTATTTTGTTAAAAATGTAAAATAAAAATTTATAATTAAAATAATCTATATCTAACCCAGATGTAACGATTTATTTATATATTTTTTTAAAAATTAATATTAACTATTAAATTCTTATTATAATCGTTTTAGTAAAATTTAATATTCTATAYCAGACTTACCATGCTAATATCGGTATTTTGTAGTTTTATTATTTTACTGATTATAATAAATAATAAGTAAATTATTTGAAATATATAATAATAAAATATATAAATTTTTTAATATAAAATATTTGTTGAATAAATTTTTATTATAAACTATAAAAATTGTTTTATAACTATAGATACAATTTTACGATTGATAAGTTTGATTGTATCCAAATTGTGTTTTATAATAAAATTGAATTTTATTTATTGTATTTTTATTGATAAAATATACTGTATATCAGTAATAAACTTTATATATAGGAATTTTTTACTTATTATTATAATTTATGAAAAATACCATGATAAAATTAWATCACACATATAGACTTGTACAAATTAAATAAAATATTAGTTATTATTCTTTGAAAATTATTTTAAAAACTTTTAAACTAAATAAAAATTATTAAGTTATCTATGAATAAATATTTAATTTATTATAATTATAAACATCAATAATGTTATAACTTTTATCAAAAAAATAAAATAATGATAACACTTAAAGTTAATCACTTAAATATATTATTAAAATAATTATTACACTTTTCAATTAATTAATTTATAGAATATTTTACTAATTATCCTAATATCAAATTGTTTATAATTAATTATTATTACTATTATGTTTAAAATAATTACAAAAAATATTGATTTAATTTTAATTTTGTAAATAATTTACGAGAGTTCATGTTATTTAGGAATCGAGAGATCATTAATCATATCTTCAARAGTGCTTCAAAGTAATTAAATTCAGGATTAATTTTTTTTTAAATTAAATAAAAACATTATCTAAAAAATTTAAATTTTTGTAAATTTAAATAATAATTTTTGATCAAATAACACATCATAAATACTAAAATATTATATATATATATTTTATTTAGTAAGAATCTACGTTAGTTTATATATATGTATATATATCAATAAAAATAATTAATAAATTTAAATATTTAATTGTTTTTAAAAATCAATTATATTAATTAAAAAATTGAAAGTTTTGATTGATTGTTATTTGATGATTAATTTTTTTAAAATTTATACAATATTTACTATATAAAACTATTGATATATTGGAATAGTAGGAAAGTAATTCACATCACTATCCAAACTATAAAAAATGACAAAACTTTTATTATCAAATAAAAGTACACAATTTTTTAGGCCACTAAAATATTTTTCACAACATTTGCTCATTTGGTTCAGTTTTGGTGACTTCTTAAAGTGTGTAATGTCTGAAATTTCAATTAATTTTGGTTCTCGCGATATTCGGGAAATAATTGCATATTATTATCGGCTCGCGCTGTCGGCACAGGAGCCAACAGATGAAATTAATTGCACATTGGGAACAAATACTGGTATTTAAGCTACAGTATCGCATTGATAACGTTACTTCAAATTTGGTCGTACATCATTGAGGACATCCCGAAGATGGGTCAATCACGGGAAGTGACCACCGATGAAAATGTGGCCAGAATTAGGGAACTGCTACAAGAATATCCGCGAATAACGCTATTACAGATGGCTTATATACTGAATATCTTAAACGAGAGAGTACATCATATTCTGCACAATTATAGCAACGCAAGACATATTTGTATCAAATGGGTACACCACTTGTTGTCGGCCGACCAAATGGCTACTCGTGTTAAGATCTGCCGGGAGAATCTGAAGATTTTTGAAAATGGCGGCAATCACTTTATTTATCGATTAGTGAATGGTGACGCAACATATGTGTACTTTTATCACAAATTAAACAGTAAAAAAGCATAGTTATGGGTCATAGAAGATGAAGAGATCCCGAAGTTGGCCAAACGTGAAGTGCATGTAAAGAAGATAATCTACGCCATATTTTTCGTTCGACTAGTATTGTGAAAATTTTCAAATTGGGAAATGGATATAAGGTTACCACCGACTGGTATGTGAAAAAATGGTTGTCTAAAGTCTTTGAATCTATCAATGAGGATCGCCCGAAGTCTGGACTAACTGGCATTATAATGTATCACGATAATGCCAAGTCTCACAAAACATTGGTAACAACCCGATATCTCGATGACAATGGTGTTCAACTTTTAACACGCCCACCTTACAGTCCTGATCTGTCTCCAGCTAATTTTTGGCTTTTTAAAAATCTCAAGAAACACCTAAAAGGAACGGTATTTAATAGCAAAATTGATATTGACAACGCTTTTGAGTCATTTTGGGAGACCTAAAACCAACCGACTGGCGTGGGGTCTATGAGAAGTGGATCGACCGTATGAAACTTGTTATACGGCCTAACGGATACTATATTTAAATAATATTAGAAAAAAATTTGATTAAAATTGTCTTAACCTATCTAGGCTAATTTCATTTCAACCAATCTAATAAATATATATAAACATAATATATATTATTGCATAAACATTATATATATTCCCCCCAAATAAAGTTATTTACTAGTTAAACCTACATATAAAATTTTTACTTATAACATTTTAATTTTTATATTTTTTATTATATTTAAATTTATTATATTTTTAAAAAATTAATATTTTTTGACTTACTCTTTGTTTAGTAGCCATTGATATTTATATATGTAATCCAAATTAATTAATCACAAAAGTTTTATTTATTTACTAAAACTTTTATATTATTTTTAAATAAATTTTATATAATAATTTTTATTTAAAAAACATACAAATATTTTAATAGTTTTGTGCTTTTTATGTCTGAATTACTAATACTTTATTTTCTATCATTTAATACATTAATATATATATAATATTTTTATATAACATACATTATATGCGTTCAATGTTATAATATTTGTTAATATAAATGTTTATTTTTGTTACCACTAATTAATTATGTTTAGATTTATTTATAAAAAACTATAAAAAAATGTTTGAATAATACAATATATTTTGTACCTATAAATATAGTTATAGTTTTATAGCAATTTTGAATAGCAGTATAATAACAATAATATTAATAATATTAAAAGCTTCAAAAATATATTGTAAATATATATCTTATATAAATCTAAATATAAAGGAAACTATGTTTTCCTGAATCAATTAAAATTGTTATTAGAAAATAATATTAATATAAAGTATATAATGATTCAATTAAAACAAATATTATTATTTTTTTATATATTGATTAAACTTTTGATATGTTTATTTAAAATAATACTGTATATTAATAATAATTATTTTTTTCCAATTTTTTAAGATTATTATTGTATAAAAAAAATTTTATTATTTGATTATAACAAAATAATAGTCATATATTTATTTATTATAATAGTTTTATTATTATTATACTATTATTAATAAGATATTGTTTTTTTAGTTAATTATTTAGCAGTTAGTAGTTAGTTAATAAATTTATAAATTTTAATTAATTCAACAAAAATATTATATATATATATAGTAGTTATTAAAACATAAAACATTTTATACAATATTTTATTGAACTGTTTTTATATTATAATTATTATCTCTAATAACTATCAAAAATACAATTTCTGATTAATAATAATAGTATTAATATATTGTTATTAATATATAACCAATAATTTATTGTTATATTGCTGACAGTTTTGACTGTTTGATCGACAATAAACTATTGATCAAAAAAATAATAAAATAAAATATTTTGATCAATAGTTTTGCAATCGACCCAACAGTTCCGGGTTTACCACAATAATGACTGTCCTATAGATTGATTGATTGATAAGCCATAGCCTATTGTATGATACAATTAAATAAAAAAAAATTATTATTAATTATTCATATATTTGGAAATTAAAATTATTACTATTTTTATATATAGAAAATAATGATTTATTTTCCTAATATCGTGGCAAACATAACATAACTGTTTTTAGGGTCACCGAAAAAAATCCAGTCATATATATATTTATATATATATAATATTTATGATAACAGGTATCCCATTGTCCAAAGCAAACGGTATTTATTATATAGTATACCAACAATCGGTCCACCGGTAGGTTCAAAGCGCACCCAAACCTATATAAGTGTTTTCGATAGCATAGTAGGGCTTTGGCGTAGTATTAGATCTTATCTATAGATTTGTTATTTAATAAAATAAATAAATAAAAATTATATAAATTACAAAATAATTTTTTTATGTAATTTTAATTTTACAAACAATTGTGTGTCTTGTGTAATTGTTGATCAAATAGTAATCCCTTATAAACAGTGCCAAACTCTCCCATTCCTATCATGGATTTTACGGGCCATTATGTGTGGCCAACACCTGACCGGAAACTTTACCACCGATATATAAAAAATACATTTAATTATCAATAATACACACATACATATACATACACACACATACACACACATACACACACATACACACACAGATACACACATATATACACACATATATACACACATATATACACACACATACACATACATACACACATACGCACACATACACATACATACACACACACATACACACACAGATACACACATATATACACACATACACACACACAGATACACATATATACAAACACATACACACATATACACACAGATACACACATATACACACATATACACACATACACACACACATATACACACATACAAACTCACATTTATAACTGCAATTGCATTTTGAAATGTCATATTTGTTAATAATAAAAAAATAGGCGCCATTGACATTCATAACTAGTGAATGAAAATATATTTAATTAAATAAATAAATTTTAATTAAATATTATATACATTTAAAATATAAATACATACAAAATATTTAATTAAATATTTAGCATTTTTCGTAAATATAATAAAATATTAATACATAAAACTGTAAATATATGCAAATCAATAGTACTGGTCATCAAAAATCATTGAAAAATTAGAGATCAAAACAAGTGTCAGTACAACAATCACTACTAACACCAAAAAAATGATTTCAATAGTGATTTGTGGAAACTGTTGGTGACATTGAATATACCGTTTCATAAAATGATAATGAAAAATAAATATTTAAATAAATATTTTGGTATTTTTTAGCAAATAAATAAATATTTTGGTATTTTTTAGCAAATATTTAAATAAATATTTTGGTATTTTTTAGCAAATATTTTATTGAATATTTTCAGTTTTTAAATAAATATTTTTTAATGCACTATTCATAACACCTTTCGTATCTAAATTTTGATTATAGTATACGACACCGATTAAAACCTTTAAAAAATAGATAACTATTTAAACATTTTGTATTTTTAAATAGTATAATTATATACCGTATATATACATACAAATTAATAGTATAGTTAATAATAATATTAATAATAATAATTTAAATAACTTACTCATTGATAAACATTTTAAGGTGACAATGGATCGATACAAACAATAAGTGTTTTTGTTTTTAATACAATTATTATCAACTGTAAGGATAATCATAATTTAGTTGACGATAAATATATAAATAAATATATAAATAAATATATAAATAAATAATATATATGTCAAATAAATAACCTAAATTATGATTATCCTTACATATGATGTATGCAATTATTGTACAAAACTTATTGCCTAACATTAGTACTACTAATTGATTACAACATGAATAGTGGACAACCGTTTTTATTGACACTCGGCTACTGTTCCCCATTGTATGACATATCAGCTGCCGATTGTTGACCACAAAGTGTCTCATTTGATGATTGTTTAAACAAATTATTATTATAAGAATAATTAACTAATAAAACAAAATAATTACATAAATATTTAAAAATTTTGTTTTTTAATTTAATTTTTGTTGAATATATTGTATTTTTCACTTTTTTTAGAATATAACTAATATTTTTGTTGAATATTTAAATAAAATATTTTTTGTTGAATAATAACTAATTATTAAAATTAAAACTATTATAATAAAAAAAAAATTAACTACTATTACTGTGTTATTGTATAAATACAGTATAAACTAAATTTAATATACAATATAATCTATTTTATATACTGTATAATTTTACAAAAATTTAAAAAAATGAAATAATTATAATATTATTTTAAAACAAATATATCAAAGTTTAATCAATATTTTTTTAATATTTGTTTTAAATGAATTATTATTATATATATATATATATTTCAATATTATTTTCAAATAACAATTATTTTGAATCCAGGAAACATATATTATATATAAGCATATTTACATATTATATATTATATTACTGTATAAACAATAATTATATTAATATTATTTTTATTAAAAGCGACAAAATATATATATTATTCAAACTTTTATATTTCTAGAAAAATCATAATTAATTAACAAACAATATTTTTTTGTATTAGTCATATGTTTATATTGAAGTTAAAATAACAATTACTGTAGTAATTAAATAATATTATTTTAAAACATATTATTAAAACATATTATTAAAAATATATTATATCTCTGGCAGTTAACTGTTTAATAGTTTAATTAATAAAACAATAATTATTATCAATCAACAAAAATATTTTATTGTAAAATTTTATCTAAATATTCATAAAAAAAATATTTCTAGTTATATTCAAAAAATTATTTTTAAAAACAAAATGTTTATATTTATAGTAACAGAAAGTAAAAGTTTGAATAATATATATATTTTTGTTAATATATATATATATATTCGCTTTTAATAAAAATAAAATAATTATTGTTTATAAATTATATAATATAATTTATATTACATTATGTAAATATACAGTATATATATATTTCCTGGATTCAAAATAATTGTTATTTGCAAATAATATTGATATATATATATATATATATTATATGTATGCAAAAGCATATAATGATTCATTTAAAACAAATATTTTTTTTAAAAAAATATTGATTATACTTTGATATGTTTGTATAATATAATTAATATAATATGATAATTATTTTATTTATTTTTTTAATTTTGTAAAATTATACTATATATAAAATATATTATATTGTATATTAAATTTTGTTTATACTGTATTTATATATTAATAACACAGTAATAGTAGTTAAAAAAAATTTATTATAACAGTTTTAGTTTTAATTTTAATAATTAGTTATTATTCAATAACAAAATATTTTATTAAAAAAATTTATTTAAATATTCAACAAAAATATTAGTTATATTCAACAACAAAAAATTTCAAATATTTATTAGGCTATATATAATTATTTTGGTTTTATTAGTTAATTATTCGTATAATAATAATTTGTTAAAACAATCATCAAAGGAGACACTTTGTGGTCAACAGACGGCAGCGGGTATGTCATACAATGGGGAACAGTAGTCCAGTACCGATAAAAACGGTTGTCCACTATTCATGCAATCAATTAGTAGTAGTACTAATGTTAGACAATAAGTTTTGTACACTAATTGCATACTTCATATGTAAGGATAATCATAATTTAGGTTATTTTTTGACACATATATAATATTTATATATTTATAATCAACTAAATTATGATTATCCTTACAGTTGATAATAATTGTATTAAAAACAAAAAAACACTTATTGTTTGTATCGATCTATTGTCACCATAAAATGCATATCATTGCGTAAGTTATTTAAATTATTATTATTATTTTTAACTATACTATTTGCCTTGATAAATAATTTATGATAAAATTTTTTGAAAATTTTTTTAGTGATATAAATAGATAGTGTATACAAAAAATAAAAAACAAACAATCAGTTGATTGCCAACTGAGATATTTGTCAGCCCATTGTCCAATTCATGCCATACCTAACCAGTACTATATAAGTCAAGTGTCGACACCATATTTTTAGACCCAACAAACCATTTGAAAGTTATCAGAAATGGTAAGATTTTTTTTTTTAAATATAATCAAACGGCTCAATCAAATTACAATCAAAACTCTAACTGTATGTCAACTATATATATATATAATGTCATATCTAATATATATATATATATATATAGTGTGAATGGCTGTCTAAACCATGATTTATGACAACAAATGGTTGAATACCAGCAAAAAAATGGTAAGATTTTCATTGAAAATATTAACAAAAAGGGTTCAATAAAATTACAATCAAAACTCTAACTGTATGTCAACTATATATATAATGTCATATATAATAATAATAATAATAATAATAATAATAATAATATATATATATATAGTGTGAATGGCTGTCTAAACCATGATTTATGACAACAAATGGTTGAATACCAGCAAAAAAATGGTAAGATTTTCATTGAAAATATTAACAAAAAGGGTTCAATAAAATTACAATCAAAACTCTAACTGTATGTCAACTATATATATAATGTCATATATAATAATAATAATAATAATAATAATAATAATATATATATATATATAGTGTGAATGGCTGTCTAAACCATGATTTATGACAACAAATGGTTGAATACCAGCAAAAAAATGGTAAGATTTTCATTGAAAATATTAACAAAAAGGGTTCAATAAAATTACAATCAAAACTCTAACTGTATGTCAACTATATATATAAGTCATATCTAATAATATATATATATAGTGTGTCGGGTATCGGGTGTTGTCGGGGGAGTAGAAGTTTCCGGTCAGTTGTTTGGCGACACATAATGGCCCGTAAAATCTGTGATAGGAATGGGAGAGTTTGGGACAGTTTATAAGGGATTACTATTTGATATTAACAGTTAAATAATGAGATACAAGTGGCCGACAATTGTTTGTATAATTAACTATAAAATAACATTTTAAAAAATTATTTTTTAATTTATATAATTTTTATTTTATTTTTTTCAAATAACAAATCTATAGATAAGATCTAATACTAATAGCGAAACCTATGCTATCGAAAACACGTATAGGTTTGGGTGCGCTTTGAACCTACCGGTGCACCGATTGTTGGTATACTACTATATAATAAATACCGTTTGCTTTTTGACAATGGGATACCTGTTATCATAAATATTATATATATATATATGACTGCATTTTTTTGGAGACCCTAAAAACAGTTATGTGATGTTTGCCATTGATATTAGGAAAATAAAATAATAATAATTTTAATTTCCTATTATATGAGCAATTAATAAAAAATTTTTATATTCAATTGTATCATACAATAGGCTATGGCTTATCTATCAATCAATCTATCGGACTGTCATTTTGGTGGTAAACCGTGAACTGTTGGGTCGATTGTAAAACTATTGGTCAAAATATTTTTAAATTTTTTTTATCAATAGTTTATTGTCGACCAAACAGTCAAACTGTCATTTGATGATATCATTTAATAACAATACAGGAGATAAATGATTCAATGAATATAAAAATCAATATAAGAAAATTCAATAATTTTTGTAATAGCAATTAAAATTAATATGAATTAATAATAATATTAACTATAAACTGTATATTTAATTGCTATCAAAGTTAATATATTTTATTATTAATTAATATAACAAACAGATAAAACATTTTATAATTTTTTTAATTATTTTATTATATAATCAGCACTTGAAACCCAAATGTTATTTATTAGTAATACTATAATAATAATAAAAAAATTACAAAACTTTATATATTTATTATTAATATTTGATAAATTATTAAAAATTTTGATAATAATTACTAATTTACTTTTTTATTTAATAAAACATTTCAATTATATATAAAACTAAAAAATATAATATATTTATAAAATTATAATTATAATAGTTGTTAGATATGAATAATTATTAATTAAATAAATGCTTTTAAATATATAAAAATAAAATTGTTTAAACTAAACTATATATAGTATTTATTATTAACTAAATTATTATTTTCTAAATATAATAATAATAATAATTATTTATTTATTTAATGTTAAATATACTATTTTTCATATATTTATATATAGATAAACAAACTTATCGTAATTGAAATTAAAACTATTTCTAAGTAAAAGTTATAATTAATTACTACTTGAACTTTGTATTATAATATACATTAATTTCCAAAACAAACTTAACATATTTGTAGGTTAATATCTAGATAATATATATACTAGTATACATATTCCTAGAAACTTTTAATGATTTTTTCAAAACTATATGTTAAAAAGTTTTTAAATTATATTAAAATAATTTTTAAAATTTTGTTTATATCCTCTCAATTGGCCTCAACATTAAATTAAATATTATTTAAATCAGTGATCATATTAATAGTAAATTATAGAAATTTTACATTAAAATTTTTTAAAAAAAAACTAATTATTAAAAATTTCTGATAATATACAGTATATATGGAGTATTTTTGAAAAATTTGATAAAATTTTAGTTTATAATTATTAACATTAACTTTTAAAAGATTATAAAAGTTTGTTTTGTAAATATGTGTATATATATATTAAAAATTAAGATAAAATAATAATTATATCTTATATATTATTGTAATTTGTTATTATTGTTTTTAATAATATAAAAACTGTCTAGTCAATAATAATACAAAAATTAATTAATATAGTAAACAGTTTATAAATAAACAAATTATAAATAATATTTACTATATTTAAGTAAAAGTTATATGTTATTAATAAACACTTGAACTTTGTTTTAATATACATGAATATAATATTGTTTTTAAAGTATAAAAACTTAATGTTAGTTAATAATTATAACTTTTAATATTACTTATTGTTAATAATTTTATTAACATATTTTTCTTGTTATAACTAAATAAAGTTTGTCAAAATAAATATGATTCAATTAAATTCAATAGTTTTGTTAATTTTTACTTTTAATGTAATTTCATCGGATATTACTAATACTACTAATAATAATAATAATAATATTTCTAATGTACTAAAAAATTTGTTATACTTTTTAATATATATAGAAGTTATTTATTAATTGTTTTTTTGTTTTTATATATATTTTTAAATAATTTAGTTAACATACAACTCATCGGATATTACTAATACTACTACTAATAATAATAATAATAATAATAATATTTCTAATGTACTAAAAATTTGTTATATTCTTTTATATATATAGAAATTATTAATTAACTGTTTTTTTTGTTTTTAATATATTTTTTTATAATTTTTTAGTTAACAGAAAACTTATCGGAAAATTTTCTTTATATATGCGGTGGTTTTGATGGATCAAAACCGTTGTCTGATTGTTATAAATATAATAAACACACAAATGTTTGGCAATCAATACGATCCATGTCTACTATTAGAAGGGATTTTGGTTTAGTTTCATTGAATTCAATATTGTATGCAATGGGCGGTTGGAATGTAATAAAATAATTAAAAAAACATATTAAAAAATATATTATTGTTTTTTTTAAAAGTTATAAATATTGTAATTTTAGAATACAATTATAAATTTAATAATTTTTAACCGTATTTAGTAAAAATTGTATTTTTTATTTAATATTATTATTAATTATTTAGAATGGAGGGGTACTTAATAGTGTTGAAACATACGATACGCAAACAAATAGATGGAAATCGGTTTCATCGATGAATATATTACGAGAGTATTTATAGCTTATTATAAAATATTATAAAATTTATAATAAGTGAATTTTATTTAATTTTTAAAAAAAAAGTTATTTTGATGCAGCAGTAATTAGTAATACAATTTATGTTTGCGGTGGATATAATGGTAAATAAATTAAAAATAATAATTAGGTTATTCTTTAAAATAAATTTTACTTTAATTTATTTATACATATAGTGTGCACTATATATATATATATATATATATAACTTTATATTGTTTTATTAAGTATATATTTAATTTAAAATTTTACACAATTAGATAATTATTTTAAATCGTGTGAATATTATTCCCAAAACATTGATAAATGGTATTTAACAACACCTATGAGTATTGAAAGACAGAGTTTAGGATTGGTATCACTCGGTGAGGGCTTTCTGTATGCTATCGGAGGTGTTAATAGAAATGGATATTTGAATTCAATGGAAATGTTTGATACAAAAACAAAACAATGGATTCCTAAGGCAAGTATGATATACAAAAGGTTAGTATTTTTCTATTATTTAAAATTTTATTTTTATTTATTTAAATTAAAAATTTATTGATAAATAAATGTGACTCAAATAACAAAAGTTATAGAATTTTTTTTTTAATTAATATTTTCAATAAATTTTTTAAATTAAAGAGGACATTATGGTTCGGCATCATTTATGGACAAAATATATGTTTGCGGCGGTTATGGCAATAGTGATGGAAAATCATGCGAATCATATGATCCGCAAACAAATCAATGGACACCAATTGGTTTATTAATATTAATATATATAAATTTTTTATAAAAATTAATTTAATTGTTTTTTTTGTTTGTATATAAATTGATAAATATATATATATTAATAGCATCAATGAAAAATCAGCGATCACATTTCAAATTGATTGCTTTCGATGATAATTTATATGCTTTAGGTGGCTATGCAGATGCAGGTAATTGAAATAATTAACTTAAATTATTATATTTTATATTGAATATTATAAATTTTTTAATTTAATATAAATTTCTAAAATTAAATATAAATTTTTTAATTTAATATAAATTTCTAAAATTAAATATAAATTTTTTAATTTAATATAAATTTCTAAAATTAATATAAATTTTTTAATTTAATATAAATTTCTAAAATTAATATAAATTTTTTAATTTAATATAAATTTCTAAAATTAATATAAATTTTTTAATTTAATATAAATTTCTAAAATTAATATAAATTTTTTAATTTAATATAAATTTCTAAAATTAATATAAATTTTTTAATTTAATATAAATTTCTAAAATTAATATAAATTTTTTAATTTAATATAAATTTCTAAAATTAATATAAATTTTTTAATTTAATATAAATTTTTAAATTTAATTTAGATGGTACAAGATTTAATTCGGTTGAATTATACGATCATTATACAAATCAATGGTATTATACGACATCATTGCCGCATATAGTGACCAATTATGCGGTATAAATAATAATAATAATAATAATAATAATAATTTTTGTTTATTATAGTAACTAATCATTAGTATATTTTTATTTATTTTTTTTCAGATTACTGTTTTATAAATAAAATTAAATATTATTATTTTTTTGAAAATGATATTTTTAAATATTTTGATTAAACATTATAATTATAGATATAAAAATAGTTGACTTGTGTAAAGTGAATAATATTAATATATATATATATATATATATATTTATTATGCTATTCATGCTTAAAAAATTTAATCAATTAAAAATCAATAAATATTTTCTATAATTGTAATTAAATTTATATAAATTATTATAATAATAATAATAAAATTTTTAAATATAAAGTTTGTCACTGATATTTTAATATTTATAATTAATTATAACTAATAATTTAATAATTAAAATAATAAAAATCAATAAATATATTTGTTTTATAAATGAATCATTAAATGCTTTTATATATAATATTTCAATATATTATTTTCAAATAACAGTTATTTTGAATTAAGGAAATTACATTTATTTTCATAGGATATATAATATAATTTTTTATATAATCATTATTTTTATTAAAAGCGACAAAATATATTAATATTATTAAAATAATTATTTTTACTTATTAGTCATATGCAATTATTTTTAGTCATAATTAATTAATTAAAGTAATATAAAACATTCTATTGAAAAGCAAAATTAAGTATGTTTTAGAAAAATTTTATTTAAAAAAAATTATAATACGATATTATTTTAATTATTTTTAAAACTTTATTATATAAGTTTAGTGTATAACTAACTATATTATATACCCAGTAATTGTTAATTATTATAATAATATAATGATTTGTTAAATGATTAGTAATTTTTGTATATAATATTGAAAGTAATATAAATAAATAAATTGTATAACTTATTATTATTTTTTAAAAATATATTTATTTAATATAATAATTATTTTTTTTTTAATTTTTATGTTTGTCTTCAAGTATGACATCAATTGATGAGACGATAACAGCCAGTAGTCATCAAAACATTGATTTATCGCTAATAAGACAATCATTTAGTCAACGTTTTGGCAATGATTTGACACAACTATTGCTATCTTATCTGAGATTTGATGATAAACTAAGACTTGAATCGGTGTCCAAACAATGGCAACAATTGTTATATGAAAGCCATAACTATATTGACGACAACAACAACAAGAAATATATTGAAAATTATGAAAAACTTATGAAAAAGTTAGCCAACAGACCATTCAGTATAACAATCAATACATCCGATGATTTGATAAACAATTTATGGTTAAAATATAATAATAGTCTTATTCATGAAAAATCAATTATCCATTTAGTTATCGATTATAATACCAATCAAACACCAAATATACTAAAATTGTTTGAAAAATTGGGCAAAAATTTTCAAAAGATTACACTTTACGGCGATATTTGTATCGGCGATAAACTGGTCGGCAATTGGTGTCCAAACGTAACTCAATTGGTATTTCATGAAAACATTTTGCCGACAATTGATAGCCTATCGGTACTACTAATCAATAATAATAATAATAATAAAGTATTATTACCTAAACTGAGAAAAATATCAAACTTTTATATTACTAAAGAAAACGCCGAAAGTTTCGATAGATTTGCCAACATTTATGGCCATCGATTGACTTCAATTGAAATTAATGGTTTGAATACTAATTATAAAAATATTTTCAATCGTTTACAACAAATGTCTGGATTAAAACAATTGACATTAAATTTTAGTAATAATGATTATTATAGTGACAATGATTTTACAAATAATAATTATTTAGTTAAAATTGGCGATAATTGTCGACAACTTAAACAACTTTCACTAATGAATCTCAAATATAAATCGGTTGAAGAGTTTGGGGAAACATTGAAAACTTTAGGCGAAAAAAATTTCAGACAATTAAAACGTTTAGAAATTAACATAATTTTCAACTATATTAACGATTTAACTGGTTTTGAAATATCATCATTGAATCAATTGTCAAAACAATTGACACATTTATCGTTAATTTTGAACGATTGCTGGCATTTTAGTCGGGATTTTCTTCGGGAAAATCCATTGAAATTTCTACCAAATATACAATTTATTGATTTTTACGGTATTATAATAACCGATCAATTGTTGAATTGTTTGTCCGAATTGAAACATTTACGTGAATTAGTTATATCCGAAAAATTATGTATTAATAATAATAATAATAGTTATTCAAAGTTTACCCGAAAAGGTATTAATAAACTTAAGGATAATTGTCCTAAAATTACTAAAATTCGTATAAATACTTATAAATATTTGTAATCATTATTATTATTTTATAATTTTAAGGAAACATTTAAAGTTAAAAATAAATTTATGTAATTAAATATATTTTTATATTAGAATAATTAATTAATAAATCTTTTTTAATACTTTTTATTTAAGAAACTTTGCTTTTTATGTTTTAATATTTTAATTTATTTTTATTTACTAATAAATTTTTTTTATATCAAATTAAAACATTATAAATTTATATAAAAAAAATTTTTGTCTTATTGTTATTATTTAAGTATTAATTTATCAATAATTATTACTATTATATAACATTATTATTATAATATTATTATTAAAAATACTAGAAATGGTTTTAAATTTAATTGAATATTAAATACTATTTACTTAATTATAAAAATTATATTATATCTAAAATTTTATTTTTGTTTTTAATTATTTATCAAACTATTTAATTGGTATAAACTTTTTTTTGTCAATTAAAAATAATTATTTTGTAATAAAAAACTAATAAATATTAAATGATATTATAGTTAATTATTTGCTAATAAAAAATACATTATTATTACTGTAATTATCAATACAACAGTTGTTTTATGTAAAGTTTATTTAATATTTTTTAATTAAATAAGATTTATTTATTTTTTAAATATTAATTTAATTAATAGTAATTATTTTTAGTAAACTATTGAATATAAATTATATTTGATAGAAATTTGCAATTTGCAAACACATTACTATATCATAATTATAATTATTATACAGAATATAACTAATTAACTAATAAAACAAACAAAAAATTGAAAACAAAATACACAATAATTAACTTCTCGACTGAATTCTTGTCGGATCCGATTTGAATGTCTTCTTAATCGGACCGATGGCCGCCTTCTTGAAGGCCATCTCATCCATACGTTTTCTATCTTCCAATTGTTTCATTACTTTCGAGTTGTCCATCGATTCTTTGATGGCTATTATCATCACAAAAAAAACAACAAAAAAAACAATTATTTATAAGATATAATCACCAAAAAAAAAACAACAACTCTTATAGTTTAGACATTACAGGCATAGAATCCTTTCGGTTTGATTGGTAGGTCTTCGGGTTTGTATTTTTTTTGTTCCGGTATTTTCAGATATTGGCGTAGTTTTGGTTGCTTCAGGAGTGTCACCTGACACAGGGATATGAAATTACTGGTACACCAGTACATCAAAATGGCTGATTCAAAGTTCCAGATGAATACCAATGTTATACAGGGAACTACTCGCATGAATGTCTTAATTACGGCCGATTGGGCCGATTTGCTGACACCTGATGGACAGCGGATCAGTTAAACAAAACCAATAGTTAATAATAAAGATTCAAACAATCAGATCTATATATATATATATATATATATATATATATTGTGTTATATAATTACCGGATTCAACGCCCAACTCGAGTGCCGCCCATAGACTAACGGATGTAATGATTGGCAGTATATGTAAGGGATCGGGAACAGTTAGGTCGACAAACCACATCATACCGCCCAGTTTTAACGATTCGACCGGCAGTCGGGCCATACGTCGGAGTGTCATAAAAAATGTGATGAAAACGGGCGCCTAATATAGACAATTGAATGACAAACGGGTTTATAACTAACTAATCTGTGATTACAGGTCTCCGCACACACACACACACACACAACAATACTACATACCTGTGCCATTGGGACCAACATATTCTTCAATGGATTAATACCATTCTTTTTCATCAGATCTTGCGATTGATGGAGATATTTCTGAACTATTGATTGTTTAATCAATTCAATTGGCAATTAGTTGAATAAGTTAAGTGAGTGATAGGGATAGGGATAGAGACCAATAAAATTAAAAAGTTTGGCCAAACACTTACACTCGAGTTGATTGCCGGCCAGTCGTGCGTTAGTCGACTTTTGCTGAAGTAGTTGTAATTCAGGCATAATCTGGTTCATCAACATTGCATTCTCTGTTTGGGTTTGTAATCAACAATTGATTTAACAAATAATTATTATTTAGAAAAATTAAAAAAAAACATTTATCGGTTAAGACAGGTATGAGACACACACACACACACAATAATAGTCCGGCAAACGGAAGGTGCGGTCAAGTAAAACAACTAATAAACAACTAAGTGATACTATAAACTGTGGATAAATAGATGGATGGATGGGATTACGGGGGGAAAGGCATATGAAAAATATAGTTGTTTTTTTGTGCCGATGATTGGGCTTAATTGGGTGACACCATAAAAGTTCGGGTGGGTGGGTGTAGTGTGTGTTTACTGTAATGGACAGTATGCCGGTCGGGTGGGTACACACTGTTTCAATTGAACATACTTTGAGCTTTGATGACCAGCGGAAACATTGCTATCCGAAAGCATAGTGTGGCCACGGCTATGGTCGCCCACCACGGCATTACCGAATGAAACGATTCCAACATATGTAATACCCATCCTATCGGGTAATAATAATAATAATAATTAAAAAGTAATAACTTTTTTTTAGTACACATACCCATTGGCGTATAATTGGAGGCCAACCCGAGTTCAGTGATCGGCATATTGGTCATTATTGTCTCGGCCATTGCCGACATGTCTACCGAATCGGACAAATCAATTAGTTGTTGTTCATCGGCGGTAGTAGTAGTAGTGGCCAACGGAACCGATTCTGGTTTGAACACAATGTCACCGCTTGTACTGAGACACCGATAGGCTATTGTTGTCATTGCCGCCGACGGCGACGGCGGTAACAGTCTTGTTGTGTTAAACAGCAGCGGTGATGATCGGCTGCTACGGCGGCGGCCAGACATCGACGACAACAACTGTCCACTTGTTAATTGATTTTGTTTGGTGTCGACAACAATCGGCTGTTGTTGTTGTTGTGTCCGCTGTCGACAACACATTGTCATCGTTGCCGCCGCCGCTGTCGGTGTCCTGTTATGTGTCCACTGATGTAATGATCGCGAGTTGACAACAAAGACAATACTGTTGTTGTTGTAGTGATGCTGTTGTCGGCGGCATCTGATGGCCGCCAATCGGTGGCCAAACTTTATACACAAAGACATCTATTATATAATGTCTGTCCGCCCGATAATGACGTCGGTTGTCGTTTGAATTGCCGGTCAATTAGTTTGTCTAACAGTTTAATAAACACATTGTGTTTACACTTAATGTTTATATACTGTAATATACAGTAATATATACACAACACGTGTTGTATTTATATTATACTATCACTGAATGGCAGCACTCTATGTGTGTATACATTACATGTATATGTACTGTAAATTAACAGTAAATTTACAGTAATTTATGTAATAATGTAATATTTTAATTTATAATTTTAGAAAATAAATAAATTATTATTACTTATAGTTAATATTATAATACAGTAAATTTATATTTTTAAATAATTTAATCAATTAATTATAGTTTATGTTTATAAATAATTATACAGTAGTTTATGGTTATAATAATATATATTATTAAAAAATATATGCATTATTACTAAATTATTTATCATTATTTTTTTTAGACTAACTTTTTTTCTATTAGTATACGGTTATAACTAGTGCATCAAAAAATATTTAATTAAAATATAATACATATTTTGTCGATAAATATATTCAAAAAAAATTATATATGATATAAAATGGTTATAAAAATAATATAAGTAATATAAATGTTAGTATAAATATTACACAATAATTATACAAAATTATGTATTAATTTAGTTAATAAAATTAGAAAACAAAATTTAAGTATATTTTTTAACAGTTTTTTTATCTATTTAATTTTTATGATATCAATTTGTTAATTAATTATATTTTTCATTTTATTTTTTTTACTAAATTATTATTAATACAATTGAAAGCAATTATTTTATTACAGTATCAATGAGTTTGCAAATTGCAATACAATTTGAATGCTTTCAAAATACATTACTGGAAAAAAAATTACATATTAAAAAAAATTTAGCTAAACTATTGTATGGTTACTAAGCCTATTAATATTTATATATATATATATATATTTAATTTACAAATAAATATTGTTATACACAATAATATAATTAATTGGGTGGGCTGGGGGTTAAATTTAAAAAAACAATATACGTGTAAATTATATATAATTATTAATAGGCTTTTTAAACAGCAATACAATGGGTTTTGTGGTTTAGATTTTAAAAAAAAAAAATATTTTTTTTATTATTTAAATATCCAGTAATTCAATGATATTGTATTTTGAAATCATTTGATTGCATTGCAATTTGCAAAGTCATTGATAATAATAATAATAATAATAATAAATAACTATTGCTTTCAATTGCATTATAATTAATTTAGTTATTATTATTACCGGTAATATAATTACTTTTATTCAACGTATGGATACAGTAAAGTGTATTCAAGTTATATGAGTTATAATCAATTGTTAATTTTATATATTAAATATCTAAACTATACATTCAATTTTTTTTATAAAAAATGACCAATGTCTTAATTGTAGAAAATAATAGGAAACTGAATATTATTGTAATTAGTCATTTATTTTATTAATTAATTGTAAAATTAACTACTGTTATATTAACTTTACTACTATTTCGATGGTATTATCTAGTTAATTTATTACAATTAATATTTATTTTTTTAAAAAAATGATCAATTACAATAATATTTTGTTTAATATTATTATCTACAATTATGACATTGGTCAATTTTCTAAATGAATGTATGGTTTACTTTAAATATTTAATATATAAACTAACAATTGATTAACTAATTAATAATAAAGTATTATTATTATCACTGCATTGTATAATTAAAATTGTAAGTAAAAAAACATTTATTAATTAATAAAATTGTTTTTTAATAGATTTGTACTTAAAAATAATAATTATTATTATTATTATATTTCAAAGTATGGCATCATATGAGGAGACAATGAGTTGGCCATCGATGGCAAACACTACGGATTTTACAAGTGATTTGACGATTGAAAATCGACAATCATTTGATCGTTTTGGCGATGATTTGTCACAACTATTGTTATCTTATCTGCCGTTTGATGTTAAACTAAGACTTGAATCGGTGGCCAAACAATGGCAACGACTGATACCATTGACTGTCGAAGAGATTAGATTTGATTACGGCTTTCGGCGAATAACCGACGATTCGTTGGCCAAACTGTTGTCAAAGTGTCCAAACATTACACGAATTTATTTTGTCGACAATTCGTTGGTTGGATTGGCTAACAATCCGATGGTATTGCCATTGATTTGCCAATACTGTCATCACTTACGACACATACATATTGAATACGATTCTGTAGACAACCTATCGCTAACATTAACCGATCAATTGTTTACCGTATTTGGCAAACAATTGTCGACAATTGATATCCATTGTGAAAATCATTTGAATGACTTAACTAATGATTTCATCAATAATCTACTGATGTGTACAAACTTATCGTCATTTAGTTGTATTTTATTCAATAGATTTCAAATGATTAACAAACAATTGATGAGACAATTGTTGACGACTTCAAGTAGTGAACCATTGATTCTTAAGAGACTAAACAATCTGAAGATCAACTTAATTGATAAAGAAATGGTCGATATTTTCAGTGATATTCACCGACTATATGGCGGCCGACAATTGAAACAATTGTCTGTATGTTTTGTTGGTCTCAATAATAATGATCTTAAAGTTATAACTAAAGTTATGACAGATTTGTCACAAATGAAACAATTAGTCGACTTAACAATCGATTACTTAAATGTTGATAATCTATGGCTAGAATTGTCTCCAATGTTGTCATCGATTGGTCGCAATTGTCAACGATTGAAAAGTTTTCGGTTTCATTTTGGATTCAATAATTTCGGCGTAAAAAACAGTATCAAAAATGGTAACGATTTGTTGACAATTATTTCCAATAATTTTAGACAATTAAAAAGATTATCGTTGTTTACAACTATTGATTTGATTGGATCTAATAATACTAATAATAATAATTTGATGAATGGTTTCAAACGGTTAACACATTTAACAATCAGATCGATGAAGATGTCGACCAACGATCAGTTTATCGATGATATCGTTGCTAACTGTCCTCGACTTCAATACTTAGAATATAGTGGTTATCGTATTGACGCAAATGTATTGATCAAATCGTTGAAACAATTAAGACAATTGCGTTCAATTGACTTAAACAATGTCGACGACAACGATATTGATTTGGATGCCATTAAAAGTATTGGCAAAATCAACAAAATTATTATTAATGAATATAAGGGTTGGGCTGAAGATTAAAAAAATGTTATAATTTATCAGTAATTGTGTTGTATTTAATAAAAATTTTAATAAATAATTAATAAACTATTAAATAATATTTATAGATGACTAGTAATTTATATATATATATATATCTCACACACACACACAGTATATACAGTAGTTATCAATCATTTTATATAAAGTATTTTATTAAACTATTTTATGAGAGAAATTATTGTTACATAATTTGTATTTTTTAAAATAAAACATTTATGGGTTAATAGTATAAATATTTCACATGTACTAGTAATTGAATTATATAAAAAAAATTTAATTTAATCTGATTTATAATACTGTAATAACATAATGAATACAATAACAACAAAAATATTAAATATATATATATTATTTTATAGCAGTATTGAAACATTTTTTAATTACTTAATTAAATTAGTACTTTTAAAAATAATAATAATTTATTTTTAGGATTATTATAAATAAATAAATTATATATTTTTTTATATTGAAATATCAGGTGTCGTCAGTTAACTGTATTGTAATCAATGCAAAACTATTGGTCAGTAAACTAAATATTATATTTGATATTATCTGATCAATACTTTTGCATCGACCAAAAAAACAGTTTTAGGTGGTGCGGCACTACACAAAAAACATCCCGGTCCACAAAATAGACAGTCCCTATAGATCCATAACCGGTACGGCAATCATATTTTTTACCCGACTTTTTTATCGGCTGACTGGTCCGTTCAATATCATTAAAATTTGCAAACCATTCAATAATTGATCCGATGATCCGAATTTTGGTCCAATACCTGATAAATATTGAAAAATCGGCGGTGTATTTGTTGGGGGGGGTGTCTTGTATTATCAAACAGTCCCATCACAATGGCTGTCAACCTCTCAACACTTGTGAATGGATTGACTATAATTTTTTTTATATATGTATTTCCATTGCCCCCCCCCAAAAAAACAAATGGTACGGTATATACAGTATAACCGATAGGCCATACCTAAAGATATGATACATAAAGTTATATATTGAATATACTGTATATATATTAACGATTCATATAAGAAAATTAAAAAAATTTTAATATTACATATAAGAAAATTAAAAAAATTTTAATATTATTATTAAATTAAAAACATATATATATATATTCAATATTATAATTATGGCTACCGTTTGAAAATAGTTGGCCCGATATCCTAGTTGGACTCATTAGCCGGCATTAATTGTATTTCCGTTTCCTGACCAATAGTTTTGCATCGACCAACACCGCTAGGATGGGCACAGTTAGGTGCGGCCACCACTACCAACAACAAAAAAATGACAGTCCAATAGATATACATATTGTTCATAACATACAGACACACACACACATACTTTTTATATATATATAAATAGTTTTTTAAAAATTATTTTTAATATATTATAAATCCTAATAATAATCACCTTTTGCTGTAGTATTTTCATTGGCCATTAAACGGTGCACCGGTAGGTTCAAAGCACATACACCTATAAGTGTCAGTACATTCACATGTTTAATGAAGTTTTTCATTATAAGATATAATGTATTAAAATTATAAACTATTATTTAGTTATATATATTAATAAATACTTTATAACTAATACATTCATATATGTATGTGAATCATAATAATAATGTGTTTGAATTATAACTAAATTCAAATATTTATTTATTTATTTTTTGGTATACAGTGTATAATATTTCAAAATTTTAAAATTATATAAATAAAATTTAATTGTTTTGCTTTTATGCAATCATATATCAAATTAGTTTAATCTCTATTAAAATATTTCTAAATAATATCAATTTGTTTTTAAAAAAATAATCATTAAATGCTTTTACTTATTTATATTTCAATATATTATTTTCAAATTACATGTATTATGAGTACAGGAAATATATATATATATATATAAGAAATATATTGTATAAACAATAATAGTTTATTTTAATTAAAAGCAACAAAATATATATAGTATTATTAATACTTCTAATATTATTTCTAGATAAATCATATTTCAATTATTAAAAAACTAAAACAAACATTTTTATGTTATTATTAATCATATGTTTCCTATCTTTTTTAAAAAACATTAGTTAATTAAATATATAATTTTTATATTGTCAAACAAAATCAATATTGTATAAACATTTATATGCAATCATTTAATTTTATCATATTATTATTATTATTATTGACTTAACTTATAAAAACATAATTAATAATTTATATCTAATTAATATTATAATAACATAATTAATACAACAACACAAAAATCAATAATCATTTTATACAGTATTTTATTTATAAGTATTGTTTTTTGAGAGAGAAAGTATAGAAACATTTTAATTTTATTACTTTTAAAATAATAATACATTTTTTATGATTATTATAAATAAATAAATTTTATTTTATTATTTTTTTTATATTGAAATATCAGGTGTCAGTTAACTATATTGTAATCAATGCAAAACTATTGGTCAGTAAAAATATTTTTATTATATTATATTATCTGATCAATACTTTTGCATCAATAAAAAAACAGTTTTAGGAGGTGCGGCACTCCTAACAATGACAACAACAAAAAACATCCCGGTCCCCACAAAATAGACAGTCCCGATAAATAAATAAATAGATAGATAGGCCAGTCATACACCTATTGGAATCATACATAATATAAAGTTTTTATATAAATGATTCATATATTTAGGAAATTAAAATTATTATTACAGTAATACCTATATATATATATAACTTACATATCCTATGGCAAACATGAGTAACATTCTTACTGTTAGATAATTGCTATCATTTCTATTATATATATTATAACAGATCTCCGTTTGACATAAAAGGTTAGACAATAATGGGTTTACCGTTTGGTTCAAAGCAGACACCTATAAATGTTTGACATTTAAATGATTGAATAGATTTCAATAATCAGTCCTTCAATTGAGGAAATGTATTGACATTGTATTGGTATCCTTTAATACAGTATATAAGCTATAGATTTGTAATAATAAACAAAATTGAAAGATAGTTATAGTGTGATTAATATTAAATATATTGTATATAAATTATTGTCTATTATTTACATACAATTTTTTCAAAAATGTGTTTCAATTTTTACCTACAACTACTGGCCATTTATTATAATATGGCTATATTTGATATATGATAACAGTTTTTTTTGCCATAAATGGTATGACAATAATGGGTGCACCGGTATCTTCAAAGCATATGAGTTTCCCTAATACAAGTACAAACCATATGTACAAACATTACAAGTTTATTATTATTAGTATTATTATTATATAAATACCATTTTTTCATAAACTTTCCCAATTTTTGTGACATCCATTTGACGGGTAGTTTATACTTTTGATTATCGATTATTGATTTGATAATCGCTATCATAAAACAAACCCCAAAAATTTTTTTCTTACTGACCAATAGTTTTGCATCGGGAGGACAAAATATGACTGTCCTGTATATATATATAGACAGGCCATACCTATTGTTCATAACAGTAGACATATTCATATGAATAGTTATTTTTTTTTAAATATTTTTAATGTACAATATTTTTTTTGCAATTAAAATTATTATTCCATTTTTACGGTTAAATAAATATCAGGGGGTTATCATCACTGGCCATAAACTGGTAATACTGATAATCGGTGCGCACCGGTAGCTTAAAAGTACAGACAAACACACACACAAGCTATAAGTATCAGTAGATTTATATGATTGAAGTTTTTTTTATTATATAATTATATGATATTTTTATATTGTGTATTACTGTATATAAATACTTTAATATAACTATAAATTCATATGTGATTATAAAAATAATATCAAATTGAATTATAACTAAATTTAATATTTTTGTATATACATTAGTATAATATTTCAATACATATATATATATATATATAAATAAAATTATTGTTCTGTTTCTATACAATCATATTTAAAAAAAAGTTTAATGAATATTAAAATATTTCTATAATAATATCAATTTGTTTTTAAAATAATCATTAAATGCTTTTATATATTATTTATTATATATATATATATATATATATTTCAATATATTTTTTTCAAATTACATGTATTTTGAGTACAGGAAACATATATATATATATATACGGTATATATATATATATAACTTATATTTACATAAAAATATAAAACTATATAAACAATAATAATTTAATTTAATTAAAAATCAACAATATATATATATATATAGTATTATTCATATTTGAATTCCTTGATAAATCATATTTATTTATTTTTTTAAATACACAAACATTTTATTTTGTGATTATTACTCATATGTTTAATATTAATAGAAATAAATTTTTTTAAATTTTTTTTAAACACTCAATTATAATGAGTAAAAGCTTAAAATAGTTAAAATGTTTATTAATATACTAATGTTTAAAGAAATACTATTAACACTATTAGCTAATTATTAAAATCATTGCATAATTATAAATATATTTATTTATACATTAGTATATTAATAAACAAATACTATTTTAAGTTTTTACTCATTATAATTGAGTTAAAAAAATATTTTTTTTAAAGTAATTATTTCTATTAAATTTAATAACAAATTAAATATCATATTATAAACTTTTATTAAAATTTATCTAAAAAAACATAATATTAATTATATTTTTGGGAATTAAACACAATATAGACTCTATTATAGAGTATATATATATATATATATATATATATATATATATATATATATATATATATATATATATATATATATATATATATATATATATATATATATATATATATTATATATATATGACTATAAAATTAAAAATAATTTAAACTATAATCAATTTTTATTAATAAATATTTTTAATAATATAAATATTAGATATTTTAACATAAATAATAATAATAATAATTAGGTATTAATACACATTATTTTCAACTATTTATAAGTGGCAGTCAATGAATCAATATTTCACTTATTTTCCATACAATTAGTGTTTCAAAAAAAAGTTTAAAATAATTGTTTCATTGCTTTCAAATTCATTACTAATTATTAGTATAATATTTTCACTAAATTTTGTTCATCAAATTGTAAGTACAAAAAAAATCAATTATTATTGAATACATTGTTTGCATTTGATTTAACTGTTAATTATTATTGTCTTCAGATATAATGGCATCAATTGAAGCGATAAGTTTGTCATCGATGGTAAACAATATGAGATTAAGAAGCGATGATTTCATGAGAAGACAATCGTTTGATCGTTTCGGCGATGATTTGTCTCAACTATTGTTGTCTTATCTGCCGTTTGATGACAAACTAAGACTTGAATCGGTTTCAAAACAATGGCATCGATTGATACCATTGACTGTCGATGAGCTAATAATTGACAAAAAGTTTAACGGAAAGTCTGCCAAAACTATTGATAAACTATTGAAGAAGTGGTCAAACATTTCATGTATTAAAGTCTGCTATAGTTATCGTTTGTTAACATATAATACACTACTATTGCCATCCATTTGCCGCAACTGTCCAAACCTGAGACACATTTATTTGGATAGTTATCGCTATAACCACTACAACAAAGACTTGTATAGATCGATGAAAATCAATGATATCTTTTTCATAGTATTTGGCAAACAATTGAAGACAATTCATATTAGACATCGTTATTGGGATCAACTGTACGATCTAATGGGGTATAATCTTCAATACTGTCGTCCAAATCTCGTGTCATTAAATTGTAGTACAGCTGTGGGTGACAAATATAAATCAGTGCCACAATTATTGTCGACTACTACTACTACTAGTAGTGGTAGTATTGAACCGTCGATTATATTCAAGAAATTAACAAAACTTGAGATCAATATCAATGACAAAGTAATACTTGATATCTTCAATGATATTGTTCAACAATATGGTCGACAATTGCTTGGAATGATTGTTGAATTCAATTATATCAATGTCGTCGACTTAGCCACAGTTATGTCTGGTTTGTCATTAATGACACAATTAGTGGACTTACAGATCAAAGTAGCCGACAGTCAATGTACACAATTCACTGACCAGTTGTTACCATCAATTGGTCGCAATGGTTGCCGATTGAAAAGATTGGCAATAATTGATGTCAACTGTATTAAGAAGAAGAAATCTATCACCAGTTTATTAAATATAATTTCCAATAATTTTAAACATTTAAAGCGATTGTCATTGTATTCAAGTATTGATTTGATTGAATCCATACAACAACAACAATCATCAGATGATATCAATGTATTCAAACAGTTAACACATTTGACAATCATTAATAATTCTCGCATTCATTTTAATAATTATTATTATTTAAATCATATATCGATGACAACCAATCAGTTTATCGGTAATATTGTCGCTAACTGTCCGCGACTTCAATACTTGCAATTCAAAGGTTATCGCATCGATTCACAGACATTGAAATTATTGCAACGATTAACACATTTGCGTTCAATTGACTTAAACAATGACATTGATTTGAATTCAATTAAAAGTATTGATAAAATCAAGAAAATTATTATTAATGGACATAAAGTATATATATAATATATATAATAAATAATTAAAATATTGAAATTTTTACTTTAGTTATTATGTTTAACAAAAATTATTATCAAATTAGACTAAAATAACTTTATTATTAATAGTTTTTTTTTAAATATTCAACTAAATTTTTTTACAGATATTTGTTATTATGCATATTATATAATATATAAAATATGCAAATATTGTACTGTCATTATCATAAATAAACAAAACATAAAAGCTATTTAATATATTATTACTATTAATTACTTTTTTTAGAAAAATTAATTTTTAAAATGTCTAGTTTAAAAATAATTGTTTGATTATAATTATTATTATCTTGATAATAATATAAAAATACATATAAATTAAAGTATTAACAAATTATATGATATGATATATAGATTTTTTAAAAATTATAAATTTTTGTTATAATAAATATAATTAATATATAAAATAAAAATAATTATTAGTTAATATTTATTGATAATAAAATTAATTTTAATATAAACTAATATAATATTAAACACTAAATGGTAGCACTTATTACACGTATTGTTTTAATTGCATTAAATTGAGTGAGTGGTTGGGGGGGGGGACTCAGGGAGGTCTGGGCTACCATCACTATTAGGGATTTATTTTACCGGATTTGTTATCAGAAATCCGAAAAGTTATTTATATTATTAATTAGTTGTTTAAAAATAAATAAATAATTGCTTTTAACTCTATTATTAAAATCAATAATTCTAATCAATTATTAGTAATTAAATATTTGTACTATTAATTAGAAATAAAATAATAATTTAATTAAATATAATATTAATATTTAAATTTTTTTAACTATTACTAATAATATACAGTATATATAAACTATTAATTATATTTGGGAATTAAACACAATATACAGTATATATATATGACTATAAAAATAATTTAAAATTAAAACTATAATCAATATTTAATATATAATACTATTAAATATTATAACATAAATAATGATATTAAATATAAATAATAGTTAGCTATTAGTTAATACACATTGTTTTTAAAAGTTTTATTTTGTGTCCATTAGATGTCACACCAAAACCCATACAATACACACACAAACACACTGTCTGTCTATCAATGATTTGCTGACTATTTAAGTGACAGTCAATCAAACAAATCAATCACTCATTCAATCAGTGTTTCACTTAATTTACATTCAATTAGTGCTTCAAAAAAGTTTAACAAAAAAACACAAAACAAACAAAATATTTGTTTCATTGCTTTTAATTCATTACTAATTATAATAATATTAAATCACTAATTAATTTGTAATCAATTTGTAAGTTAAAAATCACTTATTATTGAATACATTGATTTACATTGATTTAACTTTTAATTATTATTGTCTTGAGATATAATGGCATCAATTGAAGCGATAAGTTTGTCATCGATGGTAAACAATAGGAGTTTAAGAACTGATGATTTCACAAAAAGACAATCATTTGATCGTTTCGGCGATGATTTGTCACAACTATTGTTGTCTTATCTGACATTTGATGACAAACTAATATTTGAATCGGTTTGCAAACAATGGCATCGATTGATACCATTGACTGTCGATGAGATAATAAATGACGGAAAATTCAACGGAAAGTCTACTATTGATAGACTGTTGAAGAAGTGGTCAAACATTTCATGTATTAAAGTCTCCAATAGTTATCGTTTGTTATCATATAATACACTACTATTGCCATCCATTTGCCGCAACTGTCCAAACCTGAGACACATTTATTTGTATACTTATCGCTATAACAAAATCAATGATAACTTTTTCCAAGTATTTGGCAAACAATTGCAAACAATTCATATAAGACATCGTTATTGGGATCAATTGAATGAACTATTAGTTGATAATCTTCACTACTGTACAAACMTCGTGTCATTTAATTGTAGTACAGCTGAATATATCGACTATAAATCAGTGCCACAATTATATCGACAATTATTGTCGACTAATACTACTAGTAGTGGTAATATTGAACCGTCGATGATATTATTCAAGAAATTAACAAAACTTTATATCATTTTCGATGACAATGAAATGTTTGGTATTTTCAATGATATTATCAGACAATATGGCCGACAATTGCTATATTTATGACAAATATAATAATAATATTTATTATTATTCAAATCATATATCGTCGACGAAAACCAATCAGTTTATCGGTAATATTGTTGCTAACTGTCCGCGACTTCAATACTTAAAATTCATCGGTTATCGCATCGATTCACAGACATTGAAATCATTGCTAAGATTACGACAATTGCGTTCAATTGTCTTAAACAATGTCGACGACAATGACATTGATTTAAATATTAATACAATTAAAAGTATGGATAAAATTCAGAAAATTATTATTAATGGACATAAAGTAGTATAAAAATATCTAATTTTAAATSAAACTCTGTAATAAACTAGTTATATATATATATATAATAAATGATTAAAATATTGAAATTAAAAAAGTTTTGAATTTATTTTTTTTTTGTTGACAATAATTTATTTATAAGATTTTAAAGAATTGTTAATAAATGTTTACTTTAGTTATTATGTTTAACCAAAAATTAATATTAAATTAACACTAAAATAACTTTATTATTAATAGKTTTTTTTTAAATATTTATATTGAACTAAATTTTTATACAGATATTTGTTATTATGTATATTGTCGTTATCATTAATAAATAAAACAAAAAAAAAGTTATTTAAAAAATATTATTATTAATTACTTTTTTTTTATAAAAAAATTAATTCAAATGATTAATTTAAATTTATTAATTTGTGATATATAGATTTTTCTTAAATTATAAATTTTTGTTATAATAAATATAAATAATAGATAAAATAATTATTAGTTAAAATTTATTGATAATAAAATTAATTTTACTATAATAATAATAATATAATATTAAACCAATAAATGGCAGCACTTATTACACATTGTTTTAATTGCATTAAAATGTTTGTAAGTTTTGTGTAAAATAAAAAATATTTGAATTCAATTAATGAGTGAAAACTGTATTTCAGTAATCAATTGATTAGTGTTTTCATAGTTTTCACTACAAAAACAAACAAAATATTTATTAATTGTTTTGTGTTTTCAATTCATTACTAATTAATAATAATATTAAATCACTAATTGTGTCATCAATTTGTAAATTAAAAATCACTTATTGAATGAATACATTGTTTGCATTTGATTTAACTGTTAATTATTATTAACATTCAGATATAATGGCATCAATTGAAGCGATAAGTTTGTCATCGATGGTAAACAATAGGAGTTTAAGAAGCGATGATTTCACGAGAAGACAATCGTTTGATCGTTTCGGCGATGATTTGTCACAACTATTGTTGTCTTATCTGCCGTTTGATGACAAACTAAGATTTGATTTGATTTCAAAACAATGGCAACGATTGATACCATTGACTATCGATGAGCTAATAATTGACAGAAAATTTAACGGAAAGTCTGCCGAAACTATTGATAGACTGTTGAAGAAGTGGTCAAACATTTCCTGTATTAACGTCTTGAATAGCTATCATTTGTTAACATATTATACACTACTATTGCCATCCATTTGCCGCAATTGTCCAAAACTGAGACACATTTATTTGGATACTTATTGCTATCACGACTACAACAAAGACTTGTATAGATCGATGAAAATCATTAATAACTTTTTCACAGTATTTGGCAAACAATTGCAAACAATTCATATGATAGATAGTTATTGGGATCAACTGTGCGATCTATTGGGTGATAATCTTCACAGCTGTACAAACATCGTGTCATTTAATTGTAGTACAGGTGTGGGTGACAACTGTAAATCTGTGCCACAATTATATCGACAATTATTGTCGACTACTACTACTAGTTGTAGTATTGAACCGTCGATTATATTATTCAAGAAATTAACAAAACTTGAGATCAATATCAATGACAAAGTAATGGTTGATATTTTCAATGGTATTGTCCGACAATATGGCAGACAATTGCTTGGATTGACTGTTGAAATCAATTTTTTCAATGATGTCAACTTTGTCGCAGTTATGTCTAATTTGTCACAAATGATACAATTAGTGGACTTACAGATCAAATTAGTTGAAAATCATTGGACACAATTACCTGAACTGTTGCCACCAATTGGTCTAAACTGTTGCCAATTGAATCGGTTGACAATTGATGTCAACTGTTTTCAGCAGAAGAAATCAGATTTGAGTTTATTTTATATAATTTCAAATAATTTTAAACATTTAAAGCGATTGTCATTGTATTCAAGTATTGATTTGATTGAATCCAAACAACAACAACAATCATCAGATGATATCAATGTATTCAAACAGTTAACACATTTAACAATCATCTGTAATTATTGCATGTATTTTGATTATTATTTAAATTATATATCGAAGACAACCAATCAGTTTATCGGTAATATTGTCGATAACTGTCCGCGACTTCAATACTTGAAATCAAGCGGTTATCGCATCGATTCACAGACATTGAAATTATTGAAACGATTACCACATTTGCGTTCAATTTACTTGAATGATGTCGACAACAATGATATTGATTTTAATTCAATTAAAAGTATTGATAAAATCCAGAAAATCATTATTAATGGACATAAAGTACTATAAAATATTTAATTAAAATTAAAAATAAGTTTTTACTGATAAATATGTCTGTAATAAACCAGTTATAACTTATATACAGTATATAATAAATGATTAAAATATTTAAATAAAAATTGTTTGAATTTATTTATTTTTGTTGATAATAATTTATTTTAATAATTTTAGAGTATTATTAATAAATTTTTACTTTAGTTATTATGTTTAACACAATAATGTTTAAATATAGTATAATTTTTAAATATACTGTAACCCGGGTACTTTTTATCGGTATAGTAACAATTATATACAGTATACCAGTAATATAGATATATATAAAAAACTGTCTCACTTTGTGCTAAACCAAAACATCAATAATGGCCATAATAAACAATAACAGTACATTAGTATATTATAGATACAAAAATTAGATGCACATATCACATGATACAAATCAACTTTTTTGCACTACTCCTAAACTACGTTATCATATATACTGTTTAAACTAAGAGCGCATTTTTCAAACAATAATTTCAGTTTAAATTATTTTATAATATATTTGTTTTATTATATTTGTTTATATATATTGTATTTTATATATTAATACTGAAAATACATTATATGTATATATATATATATGCACGCAATATTATAAAGTTTTTAGCTTAGAGGGGGGAGGAGTCAATACACACGGCATAGTTATTATACACACTAAGCTATATTGTATGTATATATTAAGTGTAATCTATGATAATCTATATACATGTGTAGTGCGTCTTCTATTGTTTTGGTTTAGCACAAAGTGAGGTAGTTTTTTAATATTAAATAATAATATAAAATATTTATAAACACTAAATGGCAGCACTATATATGCTTATATAACTTTTTTTTTAAAACTCATAAAATGTACATGTACAATTTGATGATACATGTACAATACATGTACAATAATAACTGTATTACTAGATATTACAGTTATAAAAAAAAATAGTTAGTAAACGATTTATACCTTAAAATTTATTTATTTTTTTTAAATTAATACAATTTAAAAATTAATTAATTAATTAAAATATATTTATTTATTTATTTTTCAGTTAACCGAAAAAATAAATACCGTAACCGTTTCCCCCGAAAATATTAAATATTAATAAAACATTTATTATATAATAGTTGTAATCAAATATAATGAGTGAATACTTGTATTTTCAGTATTCAATTGATTAGTGTTTTCAGTAGTTTTCACAACAAAAACACAAAACATAAACAAAATATTTATTAATTGTTTTGATTTTACAATTCATTACTAATAATAATATTTAAATCACTAATTGTGTCATCAATTTGTAAGTAATTAAAAAAAAAATCACTTATTATTATTAATACAACACTTATTTGAATTGATTTTTTTAACAAAAATAATTATTATTGTCTTCAAGTATGACATCAAATGATGAGATTAGTTGTCAATTGATTGCAAAGAAAATGTCTTTAAAAACTGATTCAACGGAAGAAGA